GGCGTTCTTGTGCACAGGGACTATGGTGGTATGCATGCCTGAAACATGTAGGTATTACAGACTAGGTAAGGGAGAGGTTGAAAATCAGTGAAGACACTTGCCAGCTGATCAGAGCAGCGCAGTCCTGGTAGTCCATCTGGTCCCGTGGCCTTGTGATAGTTAACCTGTTTTTAAATGTCTTACTCAAATCAATCTCTTACTCACATCGACTATGGAGAGCGAGATCACACAGTCGTCCGGAACAGCTGGTTCTCTCATACATGGTTCAGTGTTTCTTGCCTCGAAGCAAGCATAGAAGGCATGTAGCTCGTCTGGCAGGCTCACGCCACTGGGTAGCTTGCTGCTGGGTTTCCCTTTTGTAATCCGTGATAGTTTGCAAGCCTTGCCTCATCCGACAAGCATCAGAGCTGGCCTCTGGCTCTGGGAGGGACCTCTGGCTTGCTCATCCAATGGGTTTTAAGAAGAAGGCGAGGAGCGAGGACGCCAGGAGTATGCATTCTCCCAAAACATGCACAGTTTGAGCTAGTCCAGTAAGTGACGTTGCAGGCTAGCTCAGTGCCGCCTCCTCTCATTGGTGCCAGAGAAGATGGCTGCCATTTTACAGCCCTCTAACCAATTGTACTATTATGTGTGTTTTTTCACGTTATCTGTAAATTATTCTGTACATAATGTTTCTGCCATCATCTCTTATAACCAAAAAGAGCTTCTGGATATCAGGACAGCGATTACTCACCTTGTATTGGACGAAGATTTTTTCTTCAACGAGGCGGCCGCGAAGGATATCCTACAGACACTCGACAAGGCCCAAATCCCTGTCATTCGCAGGAGAAAGAGACGGAGATATCGTGGACGTAGGTCGGGGTGCCACGTAAGGATCCGACGGCGAGCGAGTAAACTGCCTCTTCCATCAATCCTATTAGCCAATCTTCAATCATTGGAAAATAAATTAGATTACCTACGATTATGCTTATCCTACCAACGGGACATTAAAAATGGTAATATCTTATGTTTCACCGAGTCGTGGCTGAACGACAACATGGACAACATACAGCTAGCGGGCTATACACTACATTGGCAGGATAGAACGGCTGACTCCGCTGGTGCACAAAATCAAATATTAAGGAAGTCTCGAGTTTTGCTCGCCTGAGATAGAGTACCTTATGATAAGCTGTAGACCACACTATTTACCAAGAGAGTTTTCATCTATATTTTCATAGCTGTCTATTTACCACCACAAACCAATGCTGGCATTAAGATTGCACTGAATGAGCTGAATAAGGCCATTAGTGAACAGGCAAACGCTCATCCAGAGGCAGCGCTCCTAGTGGCCAGGGACTTTAATGCAGGGAAACTTAAATCCGTTCTACCTAATTTCTACCAGCGTGTTAAATGTGCAACCAGAGGAAAAAAATTACTCTAGACCACCTTTACTCCCCACACAGAGACGCATACAAAGCTCTCCCTCGCCCTCCATTTGGCAAATCTAACCATAACTCTATTCTCCTGATTCCGGCTTATAAGCAAAAACTAAAACAGGACGCACCAGTGACTCTGTAAAATAAAAAAGTGGTCAGATGATGCAGATGCAAAGCTACAGGACTGTAGTGCCCTCAAAGCTCATCACTAAGCTAAGGACCCTGGGACTAAACACCTCCCTCTGCAACTGGATCCTGGAATTCCTGACGGGCCGCCCCCAGGTGGTAAGGCTAGGTAACAACACATCTGCCACACTGATCCTCAACACGGGGGCCCCTCAGGGGTGCGTGCTCAGTCTCCTCATGTACTCCCTGTTCACCCATGACTGCATGGCCGGTCACAACTCCAACACCATCATTAGGTTTGCCGACGACACAACAGTGGTAGGCCTGATCACTGACAACGATGAGACAAATAGGGAGGAGGTCAGAGACCTGGCCGTGTGGTGCCAGGATAACAACCTCTCTCTCAACGTGACCAAGATAAAGGAGATGATTGTGGACTACAGGAAAAAAAAAGAGGACAGAGCACGCCCCCATTCTCATCGACGGGGCTGTAGTGGAATAGGTTGAGAGCTTCAAGTTCCTTGGTGTCCACATCACCAACGAACTATCATGACCAAACACACCAAGACAGTCGTGAAGAGGGCACGACAAAGCCTATTCCCCCTCAGGAGACTGAAAAGATTTGGCATGGGTCCTCAGATCCTCAAAAAGTTCTACAGCTGCACCATCGAGAGCATCCTGACTGGTTGCATCACCGCCTGGTATGGCAACTGCTCGGCCTCCGACCGCAAGGCACTACAGAGGGTAGTGCGTACGGCCCAGTACATCACTGGGGCCAAGCTTCCTGCCATCCAGGACCTCTATACCAGGCGGTGTCAGAGGAAGGCCCTCAAAATTGTCAAAGACTCCAGCCACCCTAGTCATAGACTGTTCTCTCTGCTACCGCACGGCAAGCGGTACCGGAGCGCCAAGTCTAGGTCCAAAAGGCTTCTCAACAGCTTCTTCTTCATGGCTACCCGGACTATTTGCACCCCCACCCCATCTTTTTACGCTGCTGCTACTCTGTTAATTATTTATGTATAGTCACTTTAACTCTACCCACATGTCCCCACATTACCTCAACTAGCCGGTGTCCCCGCACATTGACTCTGCACCGGTACCCCCCTGTATATAGCCTCCCTACTGTTATTTTATTTTACTTCTGCTCTTTTTTTTCTCAACACTTTGTTGTTTTATTTTACATTTTTTTTATAAATAAATAAATAATGCATTGTTGGTTAAGGGCTGTAAGTAAGCATTTCACGGTAATGTCTACACCTGTTGTATTCGGCGCATGTGGCAAATAAAATTTGATTTGATTTGATTCATTGAGTATGTCAAGTTGAAGGCCAACCGGGGTACTGCAGGCTGCTATTGGCTACTAAATTATCCTTATAACTTCTTCTGTGTGCGACGTTAAAATAATCGGTTCAAGGACATACATCTGGTGTATTAGAAGTAATCATTGGTACCATGATTGTCTTCCATTTTTATATATTTTTTACACAAAGATTGTCGTTTTCCCCTTCACTATAATGGGGGATCCTGTTTTCTGCAAATAATGCCTGCAGTACCGCGATCAGCCTTGAACTTCGTGGCTCCAATGAGAGGGGGCAGTCGTTCTCCCCTGTTCGGGAGACACTGGTGACTTGAATGATGCGGTTCATGTTCCACATTTAAATAATAAAATGAGCATGAAATTCAAATAAGAAAATTCAGCCTGTCATTTTACAAGATATAAACCTCAGTAACAGTTAAACATTTAATTTGGGAGGTATTTCAAATGTTACATTTACATTTTACATTTTAGTCATTTAGCAGACGCTCTTATCCAGAGCGACTTACAGTTAGTGAGTGCATACATTATTTTTTGTATTATTTTTTTTCATACTGGCCCCCCGTGGGAATCAAACCCACAACCCTGGCGTTGCAAACGCCATGCTCTACCAACTGAGCTACATCATGTTACTTGTGTCGTTTCTCGAAATCAGACACCAACAAATAAAGGTGGCTCATAATTAGGCAAGCCTCAATTATTTGGTGTAAAATTGAGCAAACTCACAAAATAAAGTGGTGCGTTATGGGATAAAGTGGTGCGTTATGGAACACCAGGTTTATATCTGCTCGGAGATGAAAAGCCAACAGACTTACTCCTGAGGTGCTGACCTGTTGCACCCTCTACAACCACTGTGATTATTATTTGACCCTGCTGGTCATCTATGAACGTTTGAACATTTTGAAGAACGATCTGGCCTTAATGGCTATGTACTCTTATAATCTCCACCCAGCACAGTCAGAAGAGGACTGGCCACCCCTCAGAGCCTCAGTTCCTCTAGGATCCTGCCTTTCTAGGGAGTTTTTCCTAGCCACCGTGCTTCTACATCTGCATTGCTTGCTGTCTGGGGTTTTAGGCTGGGTTTTTGTGTAAGTACTTTGTGACATCTGCTGAAGTAAAAAGGGCTTTATAAATACATTTGATACCACTTTGCTCTGAAGCCACAGCTGACTCGTTCAAAGTGGCTATTGGAGGGTCTAATTAACCCCTACACCCTCTGCTTTGGGATGTGTGTATGGCGGAGGAGCGCGTGAATGCGCAAATGGAGGGGCAAGGGGAAGGGGGTGACATGGGATTCAGCCTTTCCAGAAACATCCCCAACCCCCTCCCCTAGGCACTTGATCTTAAAGGGGAAGTTCAGTGTTTTCCAACTCAATGTTAGATGGTTCTTCACCCTGAAAGTATTTTATGGGCCATGAGAAACGTATCCATGGTTCGGTTTTCTCTAAACAGCCACTAAAAACGTAACGCTAATAAAAAAAATCTATGAAAGTGATGGGGGCATTCAGTATTACATTTACATTTGTCATTTAGCAGACGCTCTTATCCAGAGCGACTTACAGTTAGTGAGTGCATACATTTTATATATATATATCATTTTTTTTTTTTCATACTGGCCCCCCGTGGGAATCGAACCCACAACCCTGGCGTTGCAAACGCCATGCTCTACAAACATCCCTGCCGGCCATTCCCTCCCCTACCCTGGACGACGCTGGGCCAATTGTGCGCCGCCCCATGGGTCTCCCGGTCGCGGCCGGCTACGACAGAGCCTGGATTCGAACCAGGATCTCTAGTGGCACAGCTAGCAATGCGATGCAGTGCCTTAGACCACTGCGCCACTCGGGAGAACATGGCCAAATCAACTCATTATTTGGTTTGACGTTACGTGATTTGGCCTTTTTTTTGTACAGTTCCGCATGCCATGTCCCCATCAATTTCATAAATTTTTTGCTAGTGGTGGCTAAAGTTAGCAGAAGTTTGTAAGAGCTGTTTAAACTCATCCACTACTCCGATCTCAGTGCATAGGGGGTAGGGGCTGTTAATGGACAGGGCCTGGAAAGGCATGTTTTGCTACTATCTTACAGTCCGTATATGAGTGGAAGCAGTCTGTAGGATCCCAGGTATGAGGAACTAGGGCTGGGGTCTCAGGTCACAGGAAGCACAGGATCTGAGAGGTGTTTCTGGATCTCCACCTGCCCTGAGGCGTCCAGGTTCCCGGGCAATGAGGGGAAGCGGAGGCTGCCACTTAGTCTGGGCGTTTCCATGAGAGACAGTGACAGCTTGACCGTCGGTTGGGGGGAGAGTGACTCGGTTGGCTCCATCTCCGGGGTGACGGACATGGTGTCGTCGGACTCTACAGTCAGCTGGATACCACTGGACAGCGACTCCTGGGATTTCAGGGGTAACTTGAGGTCAGGCTGGCCAGAGCTCTACAACGATACAATCAAGGGTGAGTATTGAGTCACAGGTTGGAGGTTTAACAACAGTAACTACACTAACACAGCTTCTGTGAATATGTTTCAGGTGCTTTGACAGATGTTTTTTGTGTTCACCATCATGCTCTCCATGTATCATAGACTTCCTACCTGCATAGATGCTTGGCTGTCCATTTGTATGGGTGGGATCTGGTACATGGTGTGCAACACTGGCGCTCCTGTCCCATATAGGCCTGGTGAGTCTGTGGCTGACACAGTGCTGTAAGCGGGCGGTACCGGCGCTATCTGCCTTTGGAGCAGCTGCAGGATGACGTTGATATCGGCAGTCATTCGAATCTCCAGTCTGGTAATGGAGGGGTAAAGGGGGCAGAAAGAGGGAAGGAAAAGGAGGGTTACTGAGTAGTCATGTTTTCACTGTTGCCATTGAAGACCTTCCAGATAACTAAGTGGAATGTCTTTCTTGTCAAAGTTACAGTCTAACTCCATAAGCTCCAGTTTGTTAATGTGGGAAGTGGGGGTATAGGAACCGCTTTGTTATTGTTTGAATTGCAGATTTTCCCTTTTAAGGGGTAAATGAAAACATTTTACTGAGTTACAGTTCCTATAAGGAAATCAGTCAATTGAACTGAATTCATTAGGCCCTAATATATGGATTTCACATGATTGAGAATACAGATATGCATCTTTTGGTCACAGATACCTTAAAAAAAAGGTAGGGGTGTGGATCAGAAAAGTCAGTATCTGGTGTGACCACCATTGGTCTCCTACAGCGTAGGTTAGGCTGTTGATTGTGGCCTGTGGAATGTTGTCCCATTCTTCTTCAATGGCTGTGCGAAATTGCAAGATATTGTCAGGAACTGGAACACGCTGTCGAACACGTCGAATCAGAGCATCCCAAACATGCTCAATGGGTGACATGTCTGGTATGTTTACAGGCCATGAGAAGAACTGGGACATTTTCAGCTTCCAGGAATTGTGTACAGATCCTTGCATCGTGGGGCCGTGCATTATCATGCTGAAACATGAGGTGATGGCGGCAGATGAATGGCACGACAATGGGCCTCAGGATCTCGTCACGGTATCTCTGTGCATTCAAATTGCAATCGATAAAACGCAATTGTGTTCATTGTCCGTAGCTTATGCCTGCCCATACCATAACCCCACCGCCACCATGTGTCATTCTGTTCACAACATTGACATCAGCAAACCGCTCGCCCACACAACGCCATACACGCTGTCTGCCATATGCCCGGTACAGGTGAAACCGGGATTCATTCGTGAAGAGCATACTTCTCCAGCCTGATAGTGGCCATCCAAGGTGAGCATTTGCCCACTGAAGTATGTTACGATGCCGAACTGCAGTCAGGTCAAGACCCTGGTGAGGACGACGAGCACGCAGATGAGCTTCCATGAGACGGTTTCTGACATTTGTGCAGAAATTCTTCAGTTGTGCAAACCCACACTTTCATCTGCTGTCCGGGTAGCTGGTCTGAGACGATCCTACAGGTGAAGAAGCGGGATGTGGAGGTCCTGGGCTGGCGTGGTTACACGTGGTCTGCGGTTGTGAGGCCGGTTGGACGTACTGCCAAATTCTCTAAAACGACGTTGGAGGTGGCTTATGGTAGAGAAATGAACATTCAGTTCAAAAGAATGTGGCACATGTGTAATGATCATGCTGTTTAACCAGCTTCTTGATATGCCAAACCTGTCAGGTGGATGCAAAGGAGAAATTCTCACTAACAGGGATGTAAACCAAATAGTGCACAAAACTTGAGCGAAATAAGGTTTTTGTGCGTATGGAAAATTTCTGGGCTTTTATTTCAGCTCATGAAACATTTTATTTCAGCTCAGTAACATCCAGAATCTCCTGGCTAGCATTTTTGGAGCATGTTGCAATGCGAATTGTGTCAGCCAGCGGTGCACCCTAGGTAAATTGAAAATAAGCTAAAACTTGCAGGCTCAGCTGTTTGTCTGGCTCAACTGTTAAAAAGAGAGTTTTGTAACAGTAACCATGTTGTTCCTCTCACCTGTTGAGCTGTGACTGTAGTAGTTTCAGTCGGGACTCCAGCTCACTGGGCCTCTCCTCTGTGAATGGGGGCGGGTGGTAAGAGGTCCGAACCGAAGAGGAGCGCCACTGCCTGTTGGAGTACTGGGCCGACTGCCTCTCTGGCCAGTATCGAACATACCCAGACAAGTTCGGTGAGAGGTTAGAGGTGGCTGGAAACATTTACAGAGTTAAAATAACATACAATTTTATTGTTGATCAACTGATACGTCTTTTTGCTTCTCTGGGATTCAAATCGGCAACCCTCCGGTCCAGTAATGCTAAATAACATACAATTTCAATGGACAGAATTTACCACAAGGTCCCATACTGCTCATACTGTACCTGGTTGAGCCCTGTCCATGGGGGCCTCTCTGCCCACTGTGGCGCCACTAGGGGGCATCAGCTGCACCACTGAGAGGGAGTAGTCCAGCCGATCGTTGTCCGGAGGGTACAGTTCCACCTTGCCCCTGTGGGGGAGGGGCTTGTTTAGGTCCTCGCTGGACTGGGAGCAAGGCGACTCACAGCTGCAGCCCTCTTCCCAGTGGGGCTGTGGGGCCGAATGGCGTTGGCGGTAGGGGTACGGGTCATCCTGGTCCATGCCATCTGTCCAAAGCAGCACAAGAACATAAAAAAGAAGTCCATACAGCTAGCTCGCTTGATACATACAGCCCCTGATTTAACTAATCAACTTAATAACTTACCAGGACCGTTGCGACAGTCCAGGGAGTGTCCCCTGTGTCGTGGCTTGCTATGACTGTATGCACAATCATCACCAGAATCATCAGTCAACAGTATTGGTGGGACCTGGTCAGCCTGACAGATACCAGACATACAGAAAGAGCAAGACACAAACTGAACACATCCCAATACACTGATACAGTGCCAACAATCCCATTTCATTGGACACAGTGAAACAAAAAGATCTTGTTCAACAATAAATGTGTCAATTTTCTTAGTTTAGCCACATGTGTGTGTCTTCTTACATCTCTTAGGTCAAAGGTGAACTCCAAGTTTGCCCAGAAGTTGTCGGAAAAGCCTGGGTAAATGTCCAGAACCTCGAGCAGGTCATCCCTCTGAATCCGGTGCAGGTCACAGTAAGTGATGGCGCGCACGTCAGAGTTGGACTTGCCTGGCTCTGCATACATGTGGATAGGCTCCCCAAAGATGTCATTCTTCCCTACAGTATAGAGGGAGGAAGGGGGACAATGAGAGTAAATTGAGGGGGATAACATCACTTATAAATGGCTGTTATTTTAAAGAATGCTGAGCTATAGGATGTAGTTACTGTATATGATTCACATCTATTTAAGAGGATACTGTATTTAGCTGTGGTCTGGCTTGTCTAGCAGCATAGCCGCAGCCTCCAGCACACGTCGACGGTGTCGGCATAGGTTCGAATCGGACCTACTGCCCTTTGAAAACTTCACTATCCTTCCCCACTGTCATTCTATATCTGTATCTGTTCAATAAAATCAGAAAATAACCATAAAGACATGAGAAGGAGAATGATCTTCAGAAACTACATTTACATTTCTAAAATAGTTTGAAAGACCTCAATGACCGTAACATATAGCTAAAGTCAATGACATATGAAACAGTAGATTGCATAGCCTTCCTTACCCAGTATGGCCACCACGACATCATCATGGGTGATCTGGATGGTACCGCGAGTGATGAAGTAGAGAGAGTTGAGGATGTCTCCAGAGTGGATGAGGATATCCCCTGGCGGGGCATGTACAGTCTTGAAGCGCATTGCCAGAGCCCGCAGACAGGCCTTGCTGCCCCCCCGGAACGCCTTGCAGTTTTGTAGCAGACTGCGGTTCAGGTGCAGACATATATCAGCCTGCAAGCACTCTGGAAAACCCTTCAGCACCTTGGGAGGAAGAGGAAGATTGAAAGTCAATATAAAATGTCAATATCAGTAATTTTGCTATAGGGCATTTAAAGTGCTTCTCAATGTAAAATGAGTTTTTTCAGCACTGCAGTATATTACACTGGACAATGCCTTGGGGATTTGAATAGATTTGTTGACCATAAGGTAACACTTTACGTAAAGTCTACAGGTATAATTCTTTTTTTATAACATGTTATAAGCATGTAGCCTTTATAATTTCTTATAAGGCTTATAATATGTTCTTTCTCAATGTACTACACATTAACCTACTGAAAATGGCTGGTATTTAGTCAGGATCATGATGACAGGATAATACATAAGGAGGTCATACATGCTCATGACAAGTCTTACAATGCATTATACCTGCATCATAATGCATTATACCTGCAGGTTTTACGTAAAGCGTTACCGAAAAAAGTGTTTCTTACAAGTTTGGTGGCCAGTTTTCTACTCACTGCATTCATGTCAATGCCATTGGTGTAGGACCAGGCGTGCTGGAAATACTCCTCCAGGCGGTTGCGAAGCCCGTTGGGGATCTGGTGGAAGCGGATAAACTCCTTGACCCGCAGCATCTGGGTGTGGTAGCGCGTTGTCCCTGAGTATAGGCGCTGGATGATGGCCGACACGTTTCCAAAGATGCTGGCGTACATGAGAGCTGGAGGATGAGGAGGAGCCAATGGGGCTTATAAAGGCTTATGTCAACAATCGCATGTTGATAATGCAGTATAAATTACATAACCGTGGCATAACAAAAATATTATCAACAGTTGTTGACATAAGTATTTATGAAAATTTACTACTTATGAATGCAGTGTGTATGGATTGTGAATGTGGTCTGAGTAAATTGAACATTTAAGGACTTACAGCCAATAACCATAACACAGATGGAGAAGAGCTTCTCTGAGTTGGTGTTGGGGGAGACGTTCCCAAAGCCCACACTGGTCAAGCTGCTGAAGGTAAAGTAGAGTGCAGTGATGTAATAGTCCTTAGCAGACGGACCCGAGCCAGGTTCACTGGCGTTGTATGCCTTGCCCAGCTGCTCAGCCAGGTTGTCCAGCCAACCAGTCTCCGTGTAAGGCCTCTCCACGTAGCCGACAGCATACCAGATACAGGCCAGCCAATGGGCGATGAGCACAAAGGTACACATGAGCAGGAAGAGGACAGCGGCCCCGTACTCCGAGTAGCGGTCGAGCTTTCGCGCCACACGAACCAACCGAAGCAGCCGCGCTGTTTTCAGCAGGCCAATCAAGGTGGCCATCTTTAGTAGGTGGCCATTTATTGAGAATAGTAGCGAGAAGATGGGAAAAGAGAAGCAGAATGAATTGATGGGAAAATGGCTACAGTTTACAAGCAAATGTAGTTGTAAATAGGTAACACAGGAAGGTTTCATGCTTGGTGTCCCTAGTGGGATCTGAACCCTGCTCTCCCACGGGAGATACCAACGTCTTGACCATGAGATCAAGAGGGAATTCTGTCTTAGACTGATGGCAACGCCAATTTTGAAATCGCAGACATGGTTACCTCATCACGAGACCATGAGTCCAACTCATGTCTGCTAAATAAGCATGAACCTTCATATTGTCTTATTATAAGGGTTATAATATGTTATGCCTATCTGGCTGGTATTTACTCAGGATCATTATGAGATATTAAGAAGACATCACAACTGAGTTAAAGGCCTAAATGCTTTATAATGCATTATACCTGTTGGCTTCAAGTAAAGTGTTAGCCCACCAAAAAGCTTAATATTCATCCCCACTTCCATTATTCTCACCTCGTCAGACCCTGATCGGAAGATAAGCAGGTCGAAGGGTATGGCGGCCACCAGGTCGATGGCGAACCACCCCTTAAGGTAATGCACGGCGATCTTCCCCGGCTGGGTCACCACCTCGTCGTTAGGGTTGACGAAAGTTGTGCGAAAGTTGATCCCGATATCCACGATGAACAGCACATCCACCATGAGGTCCACCACGTTTAGAGGATTGCAGGTATAGCCGCAACGCCGCCGCAGCGAGTCCCCGTGCTCATCCAATAGGAAGGCTGCCGAGTAGGGGGTGAAGAGGGCTGTGTAGAGGACCAGGAGGAGGATGACCCAGTCCCATGCCGCTTTGACAGGGCTGTAGTGCAGCATGGTCCATGAGTGGGTGACCGGGGCCTTGATTTTGTACTCCGGCAGGACGTCAGCACCCAGAGACAGAACCTAACAGAGATCCGAATTACATTGGAGTGATTCATCCGCATAGAGTGGGGCCCGAGGCATTCAGCAAGTGCTCGCACACCAATTACTAATCAATACTTATTAATTTGTTAATTCGATTTGAAGGCAAGTAGTGCAACCTGCTGTAGCCTATTGATTGTGTATATGTCCATGTATTGCTTTTCTCAGTAAACGGATACGGTGCCTTCAGAAAGTATTCACTGACCTTTTCCACATTTTGTTGTGTTACATCCTGAATTTAAAATGGATTACATTTATATTTTTTTGTCACTGGCCTACACACAATAATCCATAATGTCAAAGTGGAATTATGTTTTTAGACATTTTTACAAATTAAAAGCTGAAATGTCTTGAGTCAATAAGTATTCAAACCCTTTGTTATGGCAAGCCTAAATAAGTTCAGGAGTAAAACGTTGCTTAACAAGTCACATAATAAGTTGCATGGACTCACTCTGTGTGCAATAATAGTGAATGACTACCTCATCTCTGTACCCCATATATCAGGTCCCTCGGTCGAGCAGTGAATTTCAAACACATTCAACCACAAAGACCAGGGAGGTTTTCCAATATCTTGCAAAGAAGGGCACCTATTGGTAGATGGGTTACAAAAAAAGCAGACATTGAATATCCGTTTGAGCATGGTGAAGTTATTAATTACACTTTGTCTGGTGTATCAATACACCCAGTCACTACAAAGATGCAGTCGTCCTTCCTAACTCAGTTGCCGAAGAGGAAGAAAACCGCTCAGGGATTTCACACTGAGGCCAATTGTGAATTTAAATCAGTTACAGAGTTTAATGGCTGTGATATGAGAAAACTGAGGATGGATCAACAACATTGTAGTTACTCCACAACACTAACCTAATTGGCAGAATGAAAAGCAGGAAGCCTGTACAGAATACAAATATTCCTGTTTGCAACAAGGCACTAAAGTAATACTAAAAAAAATAATTGCTAAACAATTAACTTTTTGTCCTGAATAAAAAGTGTTTTGTTTGGGGAAAATCCAATACAACACATTACTGAGGATCACTCCATATTTTCCAGCATAGTTATGGATATGCTTGTAATCGTTAAGGATTGGGGAGTTTTCAGGTTAAAAAAGAAACAGAATGGCGCTAAACACAGAAAAAACCTAGACGACAACTTGGTTCAGTCTGCTTTCCATCAGCAGGACAATAACCTGTGAATAAGGACAGTGAATGTTCCTGAGTGTCCGGGTTACAGTTCTGACTTAAATATTCTTACAAATCTAGGGCAAGACCTGAAAATGTTTGTCTAGCAATGATCAACCAATTTGACTGAGCTTGAATAATGTTTTTAATAAATGTTGCACAGTCCAGGTGTGGAAAGCTCTTAGAGACTTACCCAGAAAGACACACAGCTGTAAGTCAAGGGGTATAAATACTTTCTAAAGGGACTGTACATAACATGTTACATACAGGGTGAGATTGAAATAGGCTCGTTTATACTCCCATTGATGTACATTTCTGTCTATTGTATTCACTTTAAAAAATATATATATTTAGGTTTTGTAAATATCCTCTGTCATCGTTTCCCCATTTAATCCTATTGTGTTTTTGGTTAGCCGTGGCTAAAGTTAGTTGAAGTTGGCTATTTAAACCAACAGTGGATTACAGTTTATCCTAGCCCATAGATTTTCAGGGCCAAAATAAATGTCAATATAAAAATGACTGAATTTGTCCTTTAAAGGTCCGATGCAGCTGTTTTTATCTAATTATCAAATGATTTCTGGGTAACAATTAAGTACCTTATTGTGATTGTTTTCAATTAAAATGGTCAAAAAGAAACAAAAATAGCTTCTTAGCAAAGAGCAAATTCACAAGCAAGAATTTTGCTAGGACTGTCGGAGTGGTCTGAGTGGGGAGGGGAAAACTGAAAACTAGTTTTTATTGGCAGAGAGTTTTGGAACTCTTTCTTATTGGTCTATTAACTAATTTACCACATTTTACCGCCTTAACAAAGCCATCCAGACCAGCTCTTATGGACAAAGTAATCAACTATTCTCTGTATCACAATCCCAGCATAGCAATAGTGTCGCTAATGAACTCCAGATCACATAGAAAAGTATTTTCGCCCATTCACATTTATAGTTGGAGAGGAATGAGGGATCTTGCTGTCTGGTAACCTTGTCTCTGATTATAAACATAATCTGATGTGAGATAGGGGGAACACCTGTGTTTACAAACTGACTTCTCCTCAAATACTCTCCCATCTGGTGGAAGTCTGAACTGGCTGATTTGCATAAACTGTTGTTCAAAGCAGCATGTGGTCCTGCCTCTCATGAGTGCCCCACCCCCACAAACAAACATAATACTGACTAGTAATGCTCGGGTTGACTCATAACCCGCTGTCCCCACGGTTATACAGTGAGGGAAAAAAGTATTTGATCCCCTGCTGATTTTGTATGTTTGCCCACCGACAAAGAAATTATCAGTCTATAATTTTAATGGTAGGTTTATTTGAACAGTGAGAAACAGAATAACAACAAAAAAATACAGAAAAACGCATGTAAAAAATGTTATACATTTATTTGCATTTTAATGAGGGAAATAAGTATTTGACCCCATCTCAATCAGAAAGATTTCTGGCTCCCAGGTGTCTTTTATACAGATAACGAGCTGAGATTAGGAGCACACTCTTAAAGGGAGTGCTCCTAATCTCAGTTTGTTACCTGTATAAAAGACACCTGTCCACAGAAGCAATCAATCAATCAGATTCCAAACTCTCCACCATGGCCAAGACCAAAGAGCTCTCCAAGGATGTCAGGGACATGATTGTAGACCTACACAAGGCTTGAATGGGCTACAAGACCATCGCCAAGCAGCTTGGTGAGAAGGTGACAACAGTTGGTGCGATTATTCGCAAATGGAAGAAACACAAAATAACTGTCAATCTCCCTTGGCCTGGGGCTCCATGCAAGATCTCACCTCGTGGAGTTGCAATGATCATGAGAACGGTGGGGAATCTGCCCAGAACTACACGGGAGGATCTTGTCAATGATCTCAAGGCAGCTGGGACCATAGTCACCAAGAAAACAATTGGAAACACACTACGCCGTGAAGGACTGAAATCCTGCAGCGCCCACAAGGTCCCCCTGCTCAAGAAAGCACATATACAGGCCCGTCTGAAGTTTGCCAATGAACATCTGAATGATTCAGAGGAGAGCTGGGTGAAAGTGTTGTGGTCAGATGAGACCAAAATCGAGCTCTTTGGCATTAACTCAACTCGCTGTGTTTGGAGGAGGAGGAATGCTGCCTATGACCTCAAGAACACCATCCCCACCATCAAACGTGTAGGTGGAAACATTATGCTTTGGGGGTGTTTTTCTGCTAAGGGGACAGGACAACTTCACCGCATCAAAGGGACGATGGACGGGGCCATGTACCGTCAAATCTTGGGTGAGAACCTCCTTCCCTCAGCCAGGACATTGAAAATGGTTTGTGGATGGGTATTCCAACATGACAATGACCCAAAACACATGGCCAAGGCAACAAAGGAGTGGCTCAAGAAGAAGCACATTAAGGTCCTGGAGTGGCCAAGCCAGTCTCCAGACCTTAATCCCATAGAAAATCTGTGGAGGGAGCTGAAGGTTCGAGTTGCCAAACGTCAGCCTCGAAACGTTAATGACTTGGAGAAGATCTGCAAAGAGGAGTGGGACAAAATCCCTCCTGAGATGTGTGCAAACCTGGTGGCCAACTACAAGAAACGTCTGACCTCTGTGATTGCCAACAAGGGTTTTGCCACCAAGTACTAAGTCATGTTTTGCAGAGGGGTCAAATACTTATTTCCCTCATTAAAATGCAAATCAATTTATAACATTTTTGACATGCGTTTTTCTGGATTTTTTTGTTGTTATTATGTCTATCACTGTTCAAATAAACCTACCATTAAAATTATACACTGATCATGTCTTTGTCAGTGGGCAAACGTACAAAATCAGCAGGGGATCAAATACTTTTTTCCCCTCACTGTAACTGCGGGCCCAGCCTGGTCTCAGACTAGACGTAACATAGTAAATGTAAATCCGGCACTTAAATTAGTATGATATGTTACGTTTGGTATGGTTACATAAGACAGATGGTTACTTTAGGCAAACATTAACATAGGGTTGTTGGTTGGGGTGGATATATAACGCGAACATCTAGAAACCCATTGAATTAAGAGAAAACAATATATTGTTGTGCAATTTATAACTATCATTTAGGTTTTATTTTCATAATTTTTAGGCTATCTGGCATTAGTGCGTAATCTTTAGGGCCTAACTTTACATGTGCCAAATAGCCTACATGCCAATCGCCAAACGCTTTTTGAAACCGGCAGAAAAAGTTAACCTTGATCCACTGTGGCCAAAAGGACAATGTTGGAGTTTAATTCAGTAAGAGAAAAGCTGCGAAAAGGAGTGTTGAAAATAAAGAGAAGGGAGGGCCAGAAAAGTAATGTTTGGGAAAGATTTGGCATAATGGAAACCGAGGATGATAGCAATGCCTATGTTACAGTATGTGTGATGATTGTGAGGCGCTTTGCAAATTCGACAGTCACAAGATGGGGACTTCAAATAGGCCTATGGCACGTCACGGGAACTTTAGCCTACTGTTCAAATGGGTTAAATGGAAACTGAAATCTGGACACTGACTGTATGTCTATAACCTCTCACATATCCTTAATATTAACTCCTGCAGAATTAAGCATCAAATGTACATTTTGACTCGGGAACAGGAGTAGAGAAATATTTATTTCATTCAGCATATTGAGAGAATACGAATGTGCAGTTAGATACGTCTGTAGAGGTGCTATCTTTATCAGCATCATGAAAGCTGATAGTATTTTAACCACATAAAATATGCATCCAAGCCCAAATGAAATCTTTTCAGAAACATGTTGAGTCGTTTTCACGGCTTACTATTTCAATTTCTTTTGTTGAGTTATTTATTGCATTTTCTCCCTGGTCCCTACGTGTCTTTGCTCCGTGAAAGAAGCAGAGATGACAGAAAAAAACATTACCGATGTCAACTAAATTGAAGCATTCCTTCTATCATTTATGACATTATTCTGGTAAGCAAGGGTTTATTAGTCATATAGGGCAACATAAGACAGAAGAGAAGCTACAAGTAGTTGACTAACGAATAGCCTACCACAATGTCGGAAATTATACTGAACAAAAATATTTACGCAACATGTAAAGTGTTGGTCATATGTGCTGAAATAAAAGGTCACAGAAATGCACAAAAAGCTTATTTCTCTAAGAAGTTGGGCACAAATTTGTTTACATCCCTTTGCCAAGATAATCCATCCCCCTGACAGGTGTGGCATATCAAGAAGCTGATTAAACAGCATGATCATTACACAGGTGCACCTTGTGCTGGGGACAATAAAAGGCCACTCTAAAATGTGCAGTTTTGTCAAACACAATGCCACAGATGTCTCAAGTTTTGGAGCGTGCAATTGGCATGCTGACTGCAGGAATGTCCACCAGAGCTGTTGCCAGAGAATTGAATGTCGTTTTAGAGAATTTGGCAGTACGTCCAACCGGCCTCACATCTGCAGACCATGTGTAACCACGCCAGCCCAGGACCTCCACATCCGGCATCTTCACCTGCAGGATCACCTGAGACCAGCCACCCGGACAGCTGATGAAACTGAGGAGTACTTCTGTCTGTAATAAAGCCCTTTTGTGGGGAAAAACTCACTCTGATTGGCTGGGCCTTGCTCCCCAGTGGGTGGGCAAGTCTATGCCCTCCCAGGCCCACCCATGGCTGCATCCCTGCCCAGTCATGTGAAATCAATAGATTAGGGCCTATTGAATTTATTTCAATTGACTGATTTCGTTATATGAACTGTAACTCAGTGAAATCGTTGCATGTTGCGTTTATATTTTTGTTCAATATATATATATATATATATATATATACACTGCTCAAAAAAATAAAGGGAACACTTAAACAACACAATGTAACTCCAAGTCAATCACACCTCTGTGAAATCAAACTGTCCACTTAGGAAGCAACACTGATTGACAATACATTGCACATGCTGTTGTGCAAATGGAATAGACAACAGGTGGAAATTATAGGCAAGACACCCCCAATAAAGGACTGGTTTTGCAGGTGGTGACAACAGACCACTTCTCAGTTCCTATGCTTCCTGGCTGATGTTTTGGTCACTTTTGAATGCTGCCGGTGCTTTCAATCTAGTGGTAGCATGAGACGGAGTCTACAACCCACACAAGTGGCTCAGGTAGTGCAGCTCATCCAGGATGGCACATCAATGCGAGCTGTGGCAAGAAGGTTTGCTGTGTCTGTCAACGTAGTGTCCAGAGCATGGAGGCGCTACCAGGAGACAGGCCAGTACATCAGGAGACGTGGAGGAGGCCGTAGGAGGGCAAAAACCCAGCAGCAGGACTGCTACCTCCGCCTTTGTGCAAGGAGGAGCAGGAGGAGCACTGCCAGAGCCCTGCAAAATGACCTCCAGCAGGCCATAAATGTGCATGTGTCTGCTCAAACGGTCAGAAACAGACTCCATGAGCGTGGTATGAGGGCCCGATGTCCACAGGTGAGGGTTGTGCTTACAGCCCAACACCGTGCAGGACGTTTGGCATTTGCCAGAGAATACCAAGATTGGCAAATTCGCCACTGGCACCCTGTGCTCTTCACAGATGAAAGCAGGTTCACACTGAGCACATGTGACAGACGTGACAGAGTCTGGAGACGCCGTGGAGAACGTTCTGCTGTCTGCAACATCCTCCAGCATGACCGGTTTGGCGGTTGGTCAGTCATGGTGTGGGGTGGCATTTCTTTGGGGGGCCGCACAGCCCTCCATGTGCTTGCCAGAGGTAGCCTGACTGCCATTAAGTACCGAGATGAGATCCTCAGACCCCTTGTGAGACCATATGCTGGTGCGGTTGGCACTGGGTTCCTCCTCCTAATGCAAGACAATGCTAGACCTCATGTGGCTGGAGTGTGTCAGCAGTTCCTGCAAGAGGAAGGCATTGATGCTATGGACTGGCCCGCCCGTTCCCCAGACCTGAATCCAATTGAGCACATCTGGGACATCATGTCTCGCTCCATCCACCAACGCCACGTTGCACCACAGACTGTCCAGGAGTTGGCGGATGCTTTAGTCCAGGTCTGGGAGGAGATCCCTCAGGAGACCATCTGCCACCTCATCAGGAGCATGCCCAGGCGTTGTAGGGAGGTCATACAGGCACGTGGAGGCCACACACACTACTGAGCCTCATTTTGACTTGTTTTAAGGACATTACATCAAAGTTGGATCAGCCTGTAGTGTGGTTTTCCACTTTAATTTTGAGGGTGACTCCAAATCCAGACCTCCATGGGTTGATAAATTTGATTTCCATTGATAATTTTTGTGTGATTTTGTTGTCAGCACATTCAACTATGTAAAGAAAAAGTATTTAATAAGATTATTTCATTCATTCAGATCTAGGATGTGTTATTTTAGTGTTCCCTTTATTTTTTTGAGCAGTGTATATATATATATATGTGGTCCTCTGTAGCTCAGCTGGTAGAGCACGGCGCTTGTAACGCCAAGGTCGTGGGTTCGATCCCCGGGACCACCCATACACAAAAATTTATGCACGCATGACTGTAAGTCACTTTGGATAAAAGCGTCTGCTAAATGGCATATTATATTATTATTATTATATATGGCTCATGGAGACTTTATGAATGCTCTATAAAGCCTTTAAGTTGATGTCCATTTCAATTGGATTCAATTAAATGAGCTAATCACCCTTTGACACAAAGGTCAACAGTCATGGCCATGGGTCCCATACATACATTATGGACTGCACAGTACAAAACAACACCCTGTTGTCCTTCACTGATATCAAACACACATTATACCATGGCACTGATCCAGGATACTGTCCCTGGGGCTCCAGCAGGCATAGATTGGACAGTGGCAGCCAGCCATTCTCCACACACAGGAGATATAACATCTATTCAACCCAAGTAGTGATTTTTCCACTAGCGTGTCAACCACATTGCCTCCCACGTGCCCTAATACTGATACCAGGCATCAATGATTTCCCTGTAGGGTGCCAAGTCAGTATGACTCACGGGTTAGAGGACAAATCTCAATACACTAACAAAGCACCACGTTGAACAAGTAAATTCAGTGAGCAATCGGAGACAGCTCTGTTATCCATGTAAGTGGTGTAAATTTGATTTGGAATGTGTTAGTGGGGAGGGGGAGACCTTCCCCTAGAATGTAGTGGTCCTCTGTAGCTCAGCTGGTAGAGCATGGCGCTTGTAACGCCAGGGTAGTGGGTTCGATCCCCGGGACCACCCATACACAAAAATGTATGCACGCATGACTGTAAGTCGCTTTGGATAAAAGCGTCTGCTAAATGGCATATTAATGTGTTTGTCATTTTATGCTAATTTCTGACATTTCTACACTATCTAGTTTCTACATTTCTACACTATTCCCCTGTCCCTATAGTGGAAATTATGCCTACTATTATATGACAGGATACGAAATATGATGTGATATTACTAACTAGACAAATTGACTGCTATGTGTAACTTCATATGAAATTAAGATGTTCATGATGACAATAATTCCAAGTGCTTCCGCTGTCTCACAATACCAAACTCTGATAAGCCAACTCAAATGTTGCTATCTGAGATTCACAACACAGCGAGACAGAATCCTCAGGTATACTTAAATATATATATATATATATATATATATATATATATATATATATATATATATATATACACACACACACAGTGGGGAAAAAAAGTATTTAGTCAGCCACCAATTGTGCAAGTTCTCCCACTTAAAAAGATGAGAGAGGCCTGTAATTTTCATCATAGGTACACGTCAACTATGACAGACAAATTGAGAAAAGAAAATCCAGAAAATCACATTGTAGGATTTTTAATGAATTTATTTGCAAATTATGGTGGAAAATAAGTATTTGGTCACCTACAAACAAGCAAGATTTCTGGCTCTCACAGACCTGTAACTTCTTCTTTAAGAGGCTCCTCTGTCCTCCACTCGTTACCTGTATTAATGGCACCTGTTTGAACTTGTTATCAGTATAAAAGATACCTGTCCACAACCTTAAAGAGTCACACTCCAAACTCCACTATGGCCAAGACCAAAGAGCTGTCAAAGGACACCAGAAACAAAATTGTAGACCTGCACCAGGCTGGGAAGACTGAATCTGCAATAGGTAAGCAGCTTGGTTTGAAGAAATCAACTGTGGGAGCAATTATTAGGAAATGGAAGACATACAAGACCACTGATAATCTCCCTCGATCTGGGGCTACACGCAAGATCTCACCCCGTGGGGTCAAAATGATCACAAGAACGGTGAGCAAAAATCCCAGAACCACACGGGGGACCTAGTGAATGACCTGCAGAGAGCTGGGACCAAAGTAACAAAGCCTACCATCAGTAACACACTACGCCGCCAGGGACTCAAATCCTGCAGTGCCAGACGTGTCCCCTTGCTTAAGCCAGTACATGTCCAGGCCCGTCTGAAGTTTGCTAGAGTGCATTTGGATGATCCAGAAGAGGATTGGGAGAATGTCATATGGTCAGATGAAACCAAAATATAACTTTTTGGTAAAAACTCAACTCGTCGTGTTTGGAGGACAAAGAATGCTGAGTTGCATCCAAAGAACACCATACCTACTGTGAAGCATTGGGTGGAAACATCATGCTTTGGGGCTGTTTTTCTGCAAAGGGACCAGGACGACTGATCCGTGTAAAGGAAAGAATGAATGGGGCCATGTATCGTGAGATTTTGAGTGAAAACCTCCTTCCATCAGCAAGGGCATTGAAGATGAAACGTGGCTGGGTCTTTCAGCATGACAATGATCCCAAACACACCACCCGGGCAACGAAGGAGTGGCTTCGTAAGAAGCATTTCAAGGTCCTGGAGTGGCCTAGCCAGTCTCCAGATCTCAACCCCATAGAAAATCTTTGGAGGGAGTTGAAAGTCTGTGTTGCCCAGCGACAGCCCCAAAACATCACTGCTCTAGAGGAGATCTGCATGGAGGAATGGGCCAAAATACCAGCAACAGTGTGTGAGAATCTTGTGAAGACTTACAGAAAACATTTGACCTGTGTCATTGGCAACAAAGGGTATATAACAAAGTATTGAGAAACTTTTGTTATTGACCAAATACTTATTTTCCACCATAATTTGCAAATAAATTCATTAAAAATCCTACAATGTGATTTTCTGGAATTTTTCACATATTGTCTGTTATAGTTGGCGTGTACCTATGATGAAAATTACAGGCCTCTCTCATCTTTTTAAGTTGGAGAACTTGCACAATTGGTGGCTGACTAAATACTTTTTTCCCCCACTGTATATATACACACACACACACACACACACACAAACTTACAGTGCCTTCAGAAATATTCATACCCCTTGAATTTTTCCACTTTGTTGGTTACAGCCTGAATTAAAAACGGATTAAATACCCCATGACGACAAAGTGAAAACATGTTTAGAACATTTTGCAAATGAATTGAAAATGAAATACAGAAATATCTCATTTACATAAGTATTCACACCCCTGAGTCAATACATGTTAGAATCACCTTTGGCAGCGTTTAGAGCTGAGAGTCTTTCTGGGTAAGTCTCTAAGAGCTTTGCACACCTGGAATGTACAATATTTGCACATTATTCTTTTTAAAATTCTTCTAGCTCTGTCAAGTTGGTTGTTGATCATTGCTAGACAGCCATTTTCAAGTCTTGCCATTGATTTTCAAGCCGTTTTAAGTCAAAACTATCTACGCTACTCAGGAACATTCAATGCCGTCTTGGTAAGCAACTCGAGTGTATATTTGGCCTTGTGTTTTAGGTTATTGTCCTGCTAAAAAGCAGATTAGTGTCTGGAAAGCAGACTAAACCAGGTTTTCCTCTAGGATTTTGCCTGTGCTGAGCTCTATTCCATTTATTTTTATCCAAAAAAACACCCTAGTCCTTGCCAATGACAAGCATATCCATAACATGATGCAGCCACCACCATGCTTGAAAATATGAAGAGTGGTACTCAGTGATGTGTTCTGTTGGATTTGCCCCAAACATAACACTTCGTATTTAGGACATGAAGTTCATTTGTTTGCAGTTTTACTTTCGTGCCTTATTGCAAACAGGATGCATGTATTCTCTACAGGAATCCTTCTTTTCATTCTGTCATTTAGTTTAGTATTTAGGTCATGTTGTTGATCCATCCTCAGTTTTCTCTTATCACAACCATTAATAAACTAACTTTTTTAAAGTCACCATTTCCCTCATGGTGAAATCCCTGAGCGGTTTCCTTCGTCTCCGGCAACTGAGTTAGGAAGGATGCCTGTATCTTTGCAGTGACTTGGTGTATTTATACACCATCCAAAGTGTAATTATTAACCTCACCATGCTCAAAGGGCCATTCAATGTATATATATATTTTTTAAATTAAAAGCTACAAATAGGTGCCCTTCTTTGCGCGGCATTGGAAAACCTCCCTGGCCTTTGTGGTTGAATCTTTGTTTGAAATTCACTGCTCAACTGCGGGACCTTATAGATAATTTTATGTGTGGGGTCCAGAGATGAGGTAGCCATTCTAAAATCATGTCAAACACTTATTGCACAGGCAACTTATTATGTGACTTGTTAAGCAAATGTTTACTCCTGAACTTATTTAGGCTTGCCATAACAAAGGGGTTGACTACTTACTGACTCAAGACATTTCAGCTTGACATTTTTTATTAATTTGTAAAAATGTCTAAAAACATAATTCCACTTTGACATTATGGGCTATTGTGTGTAGGCCAGTGACATAAAAACTCAATTTAATCAATTTTAATTCAGGCTGTAACACAACAGAATGTGGAAAAGGGGTGTGAATACTTTCTGAAGGCACTGTATACGTTTTTTTACTATACTTATATATATACACACACACACACCACCCTACCTGTGTGACCTTCTCTTTGACGTTCTGTGTGCGCTCCTTCACCTTGGCTGGGGCGAGGAGCTCCACCCTGTGGGCCGGGGGGGACAGCCTGTCGGGTTTGAAGGGAGGAGGGTTGGCCGTTCCCCCAGTCTTCATTAGGTCTAAGTCGGACGTGGAGTTCAGCTGGCAAAGCTGGAGGTCTGATGGAGGTCCAATGTTCCCACCAGACACAGGTAATTTGGGGCCAATGACAGGAGACAAAGAAAAACAGGCACCCATGTTTAGTTATAGAAACAATGACATGAGTCCCAATGTGGTTTTGTATGCATTTGCTTAACATTTTGATGAAGAACCAAAATATGATTTTTCTTAACTTTACCCAGAACCAGGTTTGTCAAAAGAGACTAGAATTTGCAAATATGCTATTAAAGAGTGACTGTAGCGGCAGAATTAGACCTTTCAGCTCTGCTTCTCTTTTTAAAAAATCCCCAAAAGTTTGGAGTGTTGTGATGCTTATAAAAATCCATATAATTACACAAATTAGGGTGTGTTGAGTGCATCTCCCCTCCCCTAATTTGTGGAAGACCTGGCAGCTAAATGAGGTAACGGGGGTGTTTCCCCATCACACTTTTTTTTAAAGACAAATTGCACTCTTAGTGATGTAGATGCATACCAGAGTACACATAAACATCCCTATTTTCAGAGCCTCCGGCCGGGATACATTCAAAGGCACATTGCAGAGGTTGAATATGGGTGCAATCTCGGTGAATGTCAGGGAAATAGCCTTTTAAAAAGGTCCATTGTCTGTAGTGCCATGCGCAGCGCTACAACACTCCTTTGAATTAATTTCCGACCTCCATTTTAGTAGGGGGTGGAAATGTTTGACTATGTTTGACTGATTTCAGGACTAGAATTAATGTACATTACTATAACAAACATTAGAAAAATGGCTTTTAAAAAGGAAACGTTTTATTATTATTAGGATGTGAGCAAAAGGCCTGGGTTCAAATACACGTGTAATTGAGTATCTGGTATTTTAAATAATTTCTGCGTATTTGAGTATTTTCAAATACCAAAACAAGTACTTTTATTTGGGTATTTGAATGGTTATTTGTCAGAACCAAATAGTCTGCCAAATTGTATCTGACAGTATGTTCAAATACTTATTTCAAATACTATTTTGAAATACCTGGGTTAAATGCATGGGAGTGTATTTGAGTTAGTGTATTAGAGTTTTTCAAATACTTTCCAAGTGCATTTCCAAATAATTTAATATATTAAACTAGTTGTCTTTTCAAAGAGAATATATCTCAATACATACTTCAAATGTATGTGAAAGTAATTGCGATTTTTGAAATAGTATTTCAACCCAGGTCTGCTGAGCAAGCACAAAATAGATTCAGAATTTATTTATCTATGAAAACGTTCATCTGAAATTAGTAAACACTGACAGAGGGAATGTCTGAAATGGCACCCTACTCCCTACGTATGCTACTTTTGCCCATAAAAAAAAAAAGAGTGTACTACATAGGGAATAGGGTGCAATTTCGAACGCAGACAGACTTACTGGTGGTGACGCGTACTTCCCCACCCTGGGCTCCCCAATCCGCCCTCATGTCCCTGGGAGAGACAAAGGATATCCCCTCAGGATACTAGTTCCACTAAGATGGTCCTCCACAGAATGTCCCAACAAGCAACTGGTTCAGCAACTTCTTCCACCACAAACAAAAGTAAAAGTCAGAGCCAGTTTAAAAAACGTATCTCCTCTGCGAAAATGTCCCCTGTTGGTCTTCCTCTCTCCCCCCAAAAAATCTACCAGTATAAAACCAGTTCTCTCAGAAAATGTCTACCAAAATTACAATTTGTGTAAATACTTTGAAGAGATTCTGTCCAAAAGTGTTCGCCAGTTGTTTTATGGTTCCTTTTTTTCTCATAATATACATTAGAATGCTGTCCTTTAATCTGCGCAGATGACAACCTCTCTTAGGGTCATACTCTCCGGAGTCTGACTCCCACAGGCCAGTGAACTGGGTTAGCGTTAGCACGTGGCTATGCCTCATTCACTAACACAGTGAACTGATCAATGACTACAGCAGAGAGCCGCCGACAAATAAAATCAATCCCAAATCACGGATAACAACAGGAAATGGGCTCAACGTTATTACATTGGACATTCCTGGCTGTCACTACATTCAAAGGACCCTTTCAGTTTTGCTATAAGTATCAGGCAGTCACCGAAGAATGTTGTGATATGTGGGGAACACAACCTCGAAAATAGCTGGAAAAACACTTAATACATTGCATGCATATGCTGCTAATGTGGCACCTTATTGATTTACAGTGTTTATATAACATTAATATGATGGAATGAGATGTGGGCATGACCTGACACACTTAAATTGAAATGTCCTTCAGCGGTAACGTTCGACGTAACTATTTCTAGAGTATTGGTTTTCAGAACTTTGGGCCAAATGTTTATCAGTTAGACAAACAGGGCCAAAGGGTTTCAAATACTGTACCTAGGTGTCCAAATCATATCAAAGCTGGACATCATATTTCAATCAATCAAATTAAATCTATCAAATGTATATTATAAAGCCTTTTTTACATAAACAGTTGTCACAGAGTGCTTTACAGATACCCGGCCTAAACCCCAAAGAGCAAGCAAAGCAGAAAAGAAAGCACAGTGGCCAGGAAAAACTCCCTAGAAGGAAGGAACCTAGAGACGAACCCAGCTCAGAGCGGTGGCCCATGTTCTGGCTGTACCAGGTAAAGATTGAGAGTTCACGTGGCCATTAATCTTAGTTCATACAGTGAGGGAAAAAGGTATTTGATCCCCTGCTGATTTTGTACATTTGCCCACTGACAAAGACATGATCAGTCTATAATTTTAATGGTAGGTTTATTTGAACAGTGAGAGACAGAATAACAACAACAAAATCCAGAAAAACGCATGTAAAAAAATTTATAAATTGATTTGCATTTTAATGAGGGAAATAAGTATTTGACCCCTCTGCAAAACATGACTTAGTACTTGGTGGCAAAACCCTTGTTGGCAATCACAGAGGTCAGACATTTCTTGTAGTTGGCCACCAGGTTTGCACACATCTCAGGAGGGATTTTGTCCCACTCCTCTTTGCAGATCTTCTCCAAGTCATTAAGGTTTCGAGCCTGACGTTTGGCAACTCGAACCTTCAGCTCCCTCCACAGATTTTCTATGGGATTAAGGTCTGGAGACTGGCTAGGCCACTCCAGGACCTTAATGTGCTTCTTCTTGAGCCACTCCTTTGTTGCCTTGGCCGTGTGTTTTGGGTCATTGTCATGTTGGAATACCCATCTACGACCCATTTTCAATGCCCTGGCTGAGGGAAGGAGGTTCTCACCCAAGATTTGACGGTACATGGCCCCGTCCATCGTCCCTTTGATGCGGTGAAGTTGTCCTGTCCCCTTAAAAGAAAAACACCCCCAAAGCATAATGTTTCCACCTCCATGTTTGATGGTGGGGATGGTGTTCTTGGGTTCATAGGCAGCATTCCTCCTCCTCCAAACACGGCGAGTTGAGTTGATGCCAAAGAGCTCGATTTTGGTCTCATCTGACCACAACACTTTCCCCCAGTTCTCCTCTGAATCATTCAGATGTTCATTGGCAAACTTCAGACAGGCCTATATATGTGCTTTCTTGAGCAGGGGGACCTTGCGGGCACTGCAGGATTTCAGTCCTTCACGGCGTAGTGTGTTACCAATTGTTTTCTTGGTGACTATGGTCCCAGCTGCCTTGAGATCATTGACAAGATCCTCCCGTGTAGTTCTGGGCTGATTCCTCACTGTTATCATGATCCATTGCAACTCCACGAAGTGAGATCTTGCATGGAGCCCCAGGCCGAGGGAGATTGACAGTTATTTTGTGTTTCTTCCATTTGCGAATAATCACACCAACTGTTGTCACCTTCTCACCAAGCTGCTTGGCGATGGTCTTGTAGCCCATTCCAGCCTTGTGTAGGTCTACAATCTTGTCCCTGACATCCTTGGAGAGCTCTTTGGTCTTGGCCATGGTGGGGAGTTTGGAATCTGATTGATTGATTGTTTCTGTGGACAGGTGTCTTTTATACAGATAACAAGCTGAGATTAGGAGCACTCCCTTTAAGAGTGTGCTCCTAATCTCAGCTCGTTACCTGTATAAAAGACACCTGGGAGCCAGAAATCTTTCTGATTGAGAGGGGGTCAAATATTTATTTCCCTCATTAAAATGCTAATTAATTAATAACATTTTTGACATGTGTTTTTCTGGATTTCTTTCTTGTTATTCTGTCTCTCACTGTTTACATTTACATTTTTAGTCATTTAGCAGACGCTCTTATCCAGAGCGACTTACAGGAGCAATTAGGGTTAAGTGCCTTGCTCAAGGGCACATCGACAGATTTTTCAAAATTATAGACTGATCATTTCTTTGTCAGTGGGCAAACGTACAAAATCAGCAGGGGATCAAATACTTTTTTCCCTCACTGTAGCATGCATTTCTTTGTCAGACTGATGGATTATCAGAGAGGATAGAGCACACAAAATGACGTTCATGATACAGTATGTTTATATCTAACGAATGTCAAGCTGCTTGCTTAGCGAGTACCGCGTCCTCCTGATTCGGCTCATACCGAAGCTCGAACCCAGGACCTCTGCCTGGAAAACACACGTGACGGCCCTCCTGAAGCGTCTTTCAAGTCGCACCAGAGAAAAGCTAGCTCCTCAGCAGCGCAAGTGGTGACACTTCAGGCTGAGGAGTAAGTTTCACAAATTCCCTTATACAAATAGCTGTGGTAACAGGGTTGACAGTTAAGTAACAGATTGGTAACAGGCTAGAGTTAAATCCACTCAGTCACTTATTTGATTTGATATTTTTGTAGAATAATACAGGTTTGAGAAAATTCTTAACCTAAATCAAAATCGACAATTTGAAGATGTTGACACAATTGAATGGTAGATTTGACTGCTAATACAGTCATGTCCAAAATTATTGCCACCCTTAAAAGAAGAGGAGCAAAAAAGACTGTATAAAATAAATAATACAAATACTGAGCTACAATTGCTCAGAAAAAGTGACTTTTGTAAAACAATCTCTTTCGTCTCTCTGTGTTTTTACGATTTAGCATCAATTCCCTAGTGGCTGAATCGATCTCACCGGAGAAATTATCAGAGCGAGGGAAACAGCGCCCCGCTGTCTCAGTTACACTATCCCTGTGTAGCTCAGTTGGTAGAGCATGGCGCTTGCAAAGCCAGGGTTGTGGGTTCGTTTCCCATGGGGGGCCAGTATGAAAAAAATATGAAAATGTATGCACTCACTAACTGTAAGTCGCTCTGGATAAGAGCGTCTGCTAAATGACTAAAATGTAAAATGTATATGTAGCCCATGTATCTGATGCTGTCTGGCCAAAAAGAGTATGACATTTTGGCGCCCTTAGCATTTGATTGATTGATGCCAGCAGCATTTAGCCTCCCTTGATAGAAAAAATATAAGAATTTGCCAATCAGCATTGAGCTGAGCTCAACTGTTGTTGGTCTTGGCACAGCAAAACCACCCCTCAAAGGAGCGCAGTTTGGGTTTGGCTTCACATCAATCAAAATCACATCAAAAGCTAAACGTAATTGTCAGAAAGAAACGTGTCTGTTCCTGGTCTGCTTATGTTGTTGTCCTGCAGTAGCTAGCTAGCTCAAATCGGCCCTTTCATAAGTCATGGATGGAGATGGGGATTTGGATTTCTGGTTTTTACTTAATTCTCTGTACAGGCCAATGATTATTAAGGAAATTCTGATCTAACCATAAATGTATACATTGTGTCACTGGCCTGAGACGATTGAAGTTCAATATGTAGCCTAGATGTATACTGAACAAAAATATAAACGCAACATGCAACAATTTCACAGAGTTACAGTTCATATAAGGAAATCAGTCAATTGAAATGAATTCATTAGGCCCTAATCTATGGATTTCACATTACATTTACATTTACATTTTAGTCATTTAGCAGACGCTCTTATCCAGAGCGACTTACAGGAGCAATTAGGGTTAAGTGCCTTGCTCAAGGGCACATTTACGTCATTTAGCAGACGCTCTTATCCAGGGCGACCTACAAATTGGTGCAATCACCCTATAGCCAGTGGGATAACATTACATTTTTTTTACATTTTAGTCATTTAGCAGACGCTCTTATCCAGAGCGACTTACATTATTATTATTTTATTTTATTTTTTATACCCCCCGTGGGAATCGAACCCACAACCCTGGCGTTGCAAACGCCATGCTCTACCAACTGAGCTACATCCCTGATAACCACTTTACACTTTTTTTTTTTTTGGGGGGGGGGGGGGGGTAGAAGGATTACTTTATCCTATCCCAGGTATTCCTTAAAGAGGTGGGGTTTCAAATGTCTCCGGAAGGTGGTGAGTGACTCCGCTGTCCTGGCGTCGTGAGGGAGCTTGTTCCACCATTGGGGTGCCAGAGCAGCGAACAGTTTTGACTGGGCTGAGCGGGAACTATGCTTCCGCAGAGGAAGGGGAGCCAGCAGGCCAGAGGTGGATGAACGCAATGCCCTCGTTTGGGTGTAGGGACTGATCAGAGCCCGAAGGTACGGAGGTGCCGTTCCCCTCACTGCTCCATAGGCAAGCACCATGGTCTTGTAACGGATGCGAGCTTCAACTGGAAGCCAGTGGAGTGTGCGGAGGAGGGGGGTGACGTGAGAGAACTTGGGAAGGTTGAACACCAGACGGGCTGCGGCATTCTGGATGAGTTGTAGGGGTTTAATGGCACAGGCAGGGAGGCCAGCCAACAGCGAGTTGCAGTAATCCAGACGGGAGATGACAAGTGCCTGGATTAGGACCTGTGCCGCTTCCTGTGTAAGGCAGGGTCGTACTCTCCGAATGTTGTAGAGCATGAACCTGCAGGATCGGGTCACCGCCTTGATGTTAGCGGAGAACGACAGGGTGTTGTCCAGGGTCACGCCAAGGCTCTTCGCACTCTGGGAGGAGGACACAACGGAGTTGTCAACCGTGATGGCGAGATCATGGAACGGGCAGTCCTTCCCCGGGAGGAAGAGCAGCTCCGTCTTGCCAGGGTTCAGCTTGAGGTGGTGATCCGTCATCCATACTGATATGTCTGCCAGACATGCAGAGATGCGATTCGCCACCTGGTTATCAGAAGGGGGAAAGGAGAAGATTAGTTGTGTATCGTCAGCGTAGCAATGATAGGAGAGGCCATGTGAGGATATGACAGAGCCAAGTGACTTGGTGTATAGGGAGAATAGGAGAGGGCCTAGAACTGAGCCCTGGGGGACACCAGTGGTGAGAGCACGTGGTGCGGAGACAGCTTCTGGACTGGTAATACAGATATGCATCTGTTGGTCACAGATACCTTAAAAGAAAAAGTTAGGGGCGTGGATCAGAAAACCAGTCAGTATATGGTGTGGCCACCATTTGCCTCATGCAGCGTGACACATCTCCTTCATATAGAATTGATCAGGCTGTTGAATGTGGCCTGTGGAATGTTGTGCCACTCTTCAATGGCTGTGTGAAGTTGCTGGATATTGGCAGGAACTGGAACACGCTGTCGTACACGTCGATCCAGAGCATCCCAAACATGCTCAATGGGTGACATGTCTGGTGAGTATGCAGGCCATGGAAGAACTGGGACATTTTCAGCTTCCAGGAATTGTGTACATATCCTTGCGACATGGGGCTGTGCATTATCATGCTGAAACATGAGGTGATGGCGGCAGATGAATAGCACCACAATGGGCCTTAGGATCTTGTCACGGTATCTCTGTGCATCCAAGTTGCCATTGATAAAATGCAATTGTGTTCGTTGTCTGTAGTGTATGCCTGCCCATACCATAACCCCACCATGGGGCACTGTGTTCACAACGTTGACATCAGTGAACCGCTTGCCCACATGACGCCATACATGCTGTCTGCCATATGCGCGGTACAATTGAAACCGCGATTCAGCCATTAAGAGCACACTTCTCCAGCATGCCAGTGGCCATCGAAGGTGAGCATTTGCCCTCTGAAGTCAGTTACGACTCGGAACTGCAGTCAGGTCAAGACCCTGCTGAAGACGAGCACGCAGATGAGCTTCCCTGAGACGGTTTCTGACAGTTTGTGCAGAAATTCTTTGGTTGTGCAAAACCAGTTTCACATAGCTTTCCGGGTGGCTGGTGTCAGACGATCCCGCAGGTGAAGAAGCCGGATGTGGATGTCCTGGGCTGGAGTGGTTACACGTGATCTGAGGTTGTGAGGCCGGTCAAACAAATTCTCTAAAACGATGTTGGAGGCAGCTTATGGTAGAGATATTAATATTAAATTATCTGGCAACAGCTCTGGTGGACATTCCTGCAGTCAGCATGGCAATTGCACTCTCCCTCAACACCTGAGACATCTGTGGCATTGTGTTGTGTTCCAAAACTGCATATTTTAGAGTGGCCTTTTGTCCCCAGCACAAGGTGCACCTGTGTAATGATCATGCTGTTTAATCAGCTTCTTGATAATCCATCCACCTGACAGGTGTGACGTATCTTGGCAAAGGAGAAGCCAAACTTTGAGAGAAATAAGATTTTGGTGTTTATGGAACATTTCTGTGATCTTTTATTTCAGCTCATGAAACATGGGGCAAACACTTTACATGCTGCGTTTATATTTTTGTTCAGTGTAGTAAGCTCATGTTAACTAGCTAGCTTAGCTGGTTCATTGTTGCCCATTCTAGTAACTTAGGCTAGAAAGCATTTGAACCAGGTAGCTTGGACCAGGACAACAAAAACTAAAAGTGTGTACTACTGTATGACAGAGACATAGACCGTTTTGCCAACATGAAAGAGGAGGATGGCATTGTCATTCATCTAGGGAGAATCTCAGTTGCATAATCCTCGCCTCCTTCTCAAAACCCATTGGAGGAGAAGGTCAGAGGGGATGCAATTGAGATTCCCCCTAGTCTACATGTATTTTCTACCTGTGTGCGCACGCACAAACACACACAGAAAATCAGTACCAAGGACAGCCACATGATATTTAGCAACGTTGATTGAACCAAATAGTTTTTAGCATCTTTAAGTTGTCACTGTATTTAGCTAAGCATATAGCCTAGTTGATTTGATGATGTTGAAATGGTGCTGGAATAGCGGAGGTACTGCTCCGGTTTTATTTGTGCTGACGGTATCTCTTCCTGGTTCTAAAACAGTAGTTGTTTAGTAAACTGTCGGAACATTAACTTGATTGACAGTGATGTAAAAATACTTTAAAGTATTTATATTTTTGACAACTTTTACTTCACTACATTCCTAAAGAAAAGTATGTACTTTTTACTCCATACATTTTCCACTCTTACTTGAGTCATTTTCTTTTAAGGTATCTTTACTTTTACTCAAGTATGACAATTGGGTACTTTTTCCACCACTGTTGATTGACCATGCTGTGTAGGTCATGTAACTATTTGTTACATCCAATATTTGCTTTGTGGACTTCACCAGACAGCTGTTGCTCTCCGGTTTTGTGATAAAACAAACATATGTGTGGTTTAATTTATTCTGCCACTGTGTGGCTTTTGTCTTTTTGTTGTCTCTGCCTTATTGTATATCATGGACGAATGGGTTATAGAGCAAACAACACAATTATCACAACATAGGTTGTAATTTGGCTTTTTTCCCTGGCTTGGCTTCCCCAGTGATTTTATCCATGCACCGCTACTGTTTATAGGTAAGAATGAAGTACCTTACTGTGATTGTTTTCAATTAAAATGCTCAAAAAGAAACAGAAATAGCTTCCTAGCAAAGAGCAATTTCTCAAGCAAGAATTTTGCTAAGACCGTCTGGGAGTGGTCCGAGTGGAAAGGGGAAAACTGAAAACGAGCTGTTGTTGGTCTATTAACTAATTTACAGATTCCAATAGCAGTGTGTTTTCATTAAAAAGACCCAGTGCAATCAAAAACATGCTTTTCCTGTGTTTAACATATACAGTATTTCCACGCTATGAGGTTGGAATAATACTGTGAAATTGTGAAAATTATGATGATGCCCTTTTAGTGTAAGAGCTGTTTAAAATGACTGACATTTCTGCCTGTTTTGGTGGGATGGAGTTTTGGCCTGCCTGGTGATGTCCAAAAATGGATGTACCATTCACAGATTGCCCCTTTAAGTGTATAATAATGTGTACATTAAATACTTGTGGACAAAAACTTGTCTGCCATTCCATGTCTGCCTGATCATATCCCAACAGATATGTTAATGTCACTTGCCAGCCCCAAGCTGTTGATGATGAACAACCTGATAGCCTCAACTTCAGGACCATCAACATACAATGTTCAGGGCCCACTTTTTTGATGCACTGGGCCCGGATGCATAAAACATCTTAAGTTAATTGTCCTCTTATCTTTTCCCTTAAAGTTAAAGCATTTGAAAAAACATAAGGTGAAATGTCCAAAGTTTTCAGACCCCTTGACTTTTTCAAAAAATTTTAAAGTTACAGCCTTATTCTAAAATTGATTTCATTGTTTTTTCCCCATCAATCTACACACAATACCCCATAATGACAAAGCAAAAACAAGTGTGTAGAAATGTTTGCAAATGTATAAATCAAATCAAATCTGAATTATAACATTTACATAAGTATTCAGACCCTTTACTCAATACTTTGTTGAAGCACCTTTGGCAGCAATTACAGCCTCGAGTCTTCTTGGGTATGACGCTACAAGCTTGGCACACCTGTATTTGGGGAGTTTCTAACATTCTTCTCTGCAGATCCTCTCAAGCTCTGTCAAGTTGGATGGGGAGCGTTGCTGCACAGCTATTTTTAGGTCTCTCCAGAGATGTTCGATCGGGTTCAAGTCTGGGCTCTGGCTGGGCCACTCAAGGACATTGCACAGAATTGTCCCGAAGCCACTCCTGTGTTGTCTTGGCTTTGTGCTTAGAGTCGTTGTCCTGTTAGAAGATGAACCTTCACCCCAGTCTGAGGCCCTGAGCAGGTTTTCATCTCTCTGTACTTTGCTCCATTCATCTTTCATCTTTCCCTCGATCCTGACTAATGTGGAAAATACTTTGAATACTTTCCAAAGGCACTAATATATATACAGTGGGGAGAACAAGTATTTGATAACCTGCAAAATCGGCAGTGTTTCCTACTTACAAAGCATGTAGAGGTCTGTAATTTGTATCATAGGTACACTTCAACTGTGAGAGACGGAATCTAAAACAAAAATCCAGAAAATCACATTGTATGATTTTTAAGTAATTAATTTGCATTTTATTGCATGACATAAGTATTTGATACATCAGAAAAGCAGAACTTTCCTGTAGGTATTGACCAGGTTTGCACACACTGCAGCAGGGATTTTGGCCACCTCCTCCATACAGACCTTCTCCAGATCCTTCAGGTTTCGGGGCTGTCGCTGGGCAATACGGACTTTCAGCTCCCTCCAAAGATTTTCTATTGGGTTCAGGTCTGGAGACTGGCTAGGCCACTCAAGGACCTTGAGATGCTTCTTACGGTGCCACTCCTTAGTTGTCCTGGCTGTGTGTTTTGGGTCGTTGTCATGCTGGAAGACCCAGCCACGTCCCATCTTCAATGCTCTTACTGAGGGAAGGAGGTTGTTGGCCAAAATCTCGTGATACATGGCCCCATCCATCCTCCCCTCAATACGGTGCAGTCGTCCTGTCCCCTTTGCAGAAAAGCATCCCCAAAGAATGATGTTTCCACCTCCATGCTTCACGGTTGGGATGGTGTTCTTGGGGTTGTACTCATCCTTCTTCTTCCTCCAAACACGGCGAGTGGGTTTTAGACCAAAAAAGCTCTATTTCTGTCTCATCAGACCACATGACCTTCTCCCATTCCTCCTCTGGATCATCCAGATGGTCATTGGCAAACTTCAGACGGGCCTGGACATGCGCTGGCTTGAGCAGGGGGACCTTGCGTGCGCTGCAGGATTTTAATCCATGACGGCGTAGTGTGTTACTAATGGTTTTCTTAGAGACTGTGGTCCCAGCTCTCTTCAGGTCATTGACCAGGTCCTGCCGTGTAGTTCTCGGCTGATCCCTCACCTTCCTCATTATCATTGATGCCCCACGAGGTGATATCTTGCGTTGAGCCCCAGACCGAGGGTGATTGACCGTCATCTTGAACTTCTTCCATTTTCTAATAATTGCGCCAACAGTTGTTGCCTTCTCACCAAGCTGCTTGCCTATTGTCCTGTAGCCCATCCCAGCCTTGTGCAGGTCTACAATTATATCCCTGATGTCCTTACACAGCTCTCTGGTCTTGGCCATTGTGGAGAGGTTGGAGTCTGTTTGATTGAGTGTGTGGACAGGTGTCTTTTATACAGGTAACGAGTTCAAACAGGTGCTGTTAATACAGGTAATGAGTGGAGAACAGGAGGGCTTCTTAAAGAAAAACTAACAGGTCTGTGAGAGCCGGAATTCTTACTGGTTGGTACTTAAAAATCATACAATGTGATTTTCTGGATTTTTGCTTTAGATTACATCTCTCACAGTTGAAGTGTACCTATGATAAATATTACAGACCTCTACATGCTTTGTAAGTAGGAAAACCTGCAAAATCGGCAGTGTATCAAATACTTGTTCTCCCCACTGTATACACACATGTATGTATGTATGTATGTATGTATGTATGTATGTATGTATGTATGTATATATATATATATATATATATATATATATATATATATATATATATATATATATATATATATATACACATACACACACACACACACACACATACATACACACACACATACATATACAGTGAGGGAAAAAAGTATTTGATCCCCTGCTGATTTTTTACGTTTACCCACTGACAAAGACATGATCAGTCTATAATTTTAATGGTAGGTTTATTTGAACAGTGAGAGACAGAATAACATGAAAAAAATCCAGAAAAACGCATGTCAAAAATGTTATGAATTGATTTGCATTTTAATGAGGGAAATAAGTATTTGACCCCTCTGCAAAACATGACTTAGTACTTGGTGGCAAAACCCTTGTTGGCAATCAGAGGTCAGACGTTTCTTGTAGTTGGCCACCAGGTTTGCATTCCTCCTCCTCCAAACACGGCGAGTTGAGTTGATGCCAAAGAGCTCGATTTGTCTCATCTGACCACAACACTTTCCCCCAGTTATACTCTGAATCATTCAGATGTTCACTGGCAAACTTCAGACGGGCCTATATATGTGCTTTCTTGAGCAGGGGGACCTTGTGGGCACTGCAGGATTTCAGTCCTTCACGGCGTAGTGTGTTACCAATTGTTTTCTTGGTGACTATGGTCCCAGCTGCCTTGAGATCATTGACAAGATCCTCCCGTGTAGTTCTGGGCTGATTCCTCACTGTTCTCATGATCCATTGCAACTCCATGAAGTGAGATCTTGCATGGAGCCCCAGGCCGAGGGAGATTGACAGTTATTTTGTGTTTCTTCCATTTGCGAATAATCACACCAACTGTTGTCACCTTCTCACCAAGCTGCTTGGCGATGGTCTTGTAGCCCATTCCAGCCTTGTGTAGGTCTACAATCTTGTCCCTGACATCCTTGGAGAGCTCTTTGGTCTTGGCCATGGTGGGGAGTTTGGAATCTGATTGATTGATTGTTTCTGTGGACAGGTGTCTTTTATACAGGTAACAAGCTGAGATGAGGTGTACTCCCTTTAAAGAGTGTGCTCCTAATCTCAGCTCGTTATCTGTATAAAAGACACCTGGGAGCCAGAAATCTTTCTGATTGAGAGGGGGTCAAATACTTATTTCCCTCATTATAATGCAAATCAATTTATAACATTTGATCAATCAATTAGCCTTTTAAAATTATAAACTTGGATTAGCAAACACAACGTGCCATTGGAACACAAGACTGATGGTTGCTGATAATGGGCCTCTGTACGCCTATGTTGATATTCCATAAAAAATCAGCTGTTTCCAGCTACAATAGCCATTTACAACATTAACAATGTCTACACTGTATTTCTGATCAATTTGATGTTATTTTAATGGACAAAAAAAGTATTTTCTTTCGAAAACAAGGACATTTCTAAGTGACCCCAAACTTTTGAACGGTAGTATATATAGTGCCTTCAGGAAAGTATTCAGACCCCTTGACTTTTTCCACTTTGTTACATTAGCCTTATTCTAAAATAGATGAAATAAATAAAAATCCTCAGCAATCTACACACAATCCCCCATAATGACAAAGCGAAAAAAACATTTTTTGCAAATGTATTAAAAATAAAATCCAGAAATACCTTATTTACATAAGTATTCGGACCCTTTGCTATGAGACTCAAAATTGAGCTCAGGTGCATCCATTGATCATCCTTGAGATGTTTCTACAACTTGATTGGAGTCCACCTGTGGTAAATACAATTGATTGGACATGATTTGGAAAGGCACACACCTGTCTATATAATGTCCCACAGCAGCAGTGCATGTCAGAGCAAAAAACCAAGTAATGAGGTCGAAGGAATTGTCCGTAGAGCTCCGAGACAGGATTTTGTCAAGGCACAGATCTGGGGAAGGGTACCAAAAGATGTCTGCAGCATTGAAGGTCCCCAAGAACACAGAAGTTTGGAACCACCAAGACTCTTCCTAGAGCTGGCCGCCCGGGCAAACTGAGCAATCGGGGGAGAAGAGCCTTGGTCAGGGAGGTGAACAAGAACCCAATGGTCACTCTGACAAAGCTCTAGAGTTCCTCTGTGGAGATGGGAGAAACTTCCAGAAGGACAACCATCTCTGCAGCACTCCACCAATCAGGCCTTTATGGTAGATTGGCCAAACGGAAGCCACTCCTCAGTAAAAGGCACATGACAGCCCACTTGGAGTTTGCCAAAAGGCACCTTAAGACTCTCAGACCATAAGAAACAAGATTCTCTGGTCTGATGAAACCAAGATTGAACTCTTTGGCCTGAATGCCAAGACTCACGTCTGGAGGAAACCTGGCACCATCCCTACGGTAAAGCATGGTGGTGGCAGCATCATGCTGTGGGGATGTTTTTCAGTGGCAGGGACTGGGAGACTAGTCGAGGCAAAGAAGAACTGAGCAAAGTACAGAGAGATCCTTGATGAAAACCTGCTCCAGTGCTCAGGACCTCAGACTGGGGCGAAGGTTCACCTTCCAAAAGGACAACGACCCTAAGCACACAGAAGTGGCTTCGGGAAAAGTCTCTGAATGTCCTTGAGTGGCCCAGCAAGAGTCCAGACTTGAACCCGATCAAACATCTCTGGAGAGACCTGAAAATAGCTGTGCCGCAATGATCCCCATCCAACCTGACAGAGCTTGAGAGGATCTGCAGAGAATAATGGGAGAAACTCCCCAAATACAGGCGTGCCAAGCTTGTAGCGTCATACCCAAGAAGACTCAAGGCTGTAATCGCTGCCAAAGGTGCTTCAAAGTACTGAGTAAAGGGTCTGAATACTTTTGTAAATGTGATATTTCAGCTTTTTATTTAAAGGAAAGTAATGATGGACTGTCGTTTTTCTTTGCTTATTTGAGCTTTTCTTGACATAATATGGACTTGGTCTTTTACCAAATAGGGCTATCTTCTATATAGCCTCCTGAGTGGCGCAGCGGTCTAAGGCACTGCATCGCAGTGCTAGCTGTGCCACTAGAGATCCTGGTTCGAATCCAGGCTCTGTCGTAGCCGGCCGCGACCGGGAGACCCATGAGGCGGCGCACAATTGGCCCAGCATCGTCCAGGGTAGGGGAGGGAATGGCCGGCAGGGATGTAGCTCAGTTGGTAGAGCATGTCGCTTGCAACGCCAGGGTTGTGGGTTTGATTCCAGTAATAAAATAATGCATGCAATCACTAACTGTAAGTCGCTCTGGATAAGAGCGTCTGCTAAATGACTAAAATGTAAATGTAAAATGTATACCCCCCCCCCCCCTTTTCAAGAGAGACTTGGTCCAACAGCAGCAGGGGGAACAAAGTTTCTGACAAAACAACTTACATACATTAACACAATATTGAACAAAACTATAGACACACATACAGTACAACAATTACATATTACGTAAAGAAACACAAATGTCATAACTAAAAATCAGCTGTCCTAAAGACAATTACACTCTATGAAATGTACATCGACCAAGTTTTTAAACTCCACCAATGTGACTAGATCATCAAATTTTAAAATGTTCAGGAGATAATTCCAGGACCACGGAGCTGAGTAACTAAAACTATTTCTACCATGACATGTTCTAATTCTTGGTACCGTTAAAAGCAAATGAGAATGGGACCATAATTTATATTTATTTACTGACCTGATTAAAAAATAACAGAGATAAAGTGGCATTTTACCCAGTATGGCCTTATAAATCAGTGTATACCAGTGTTTAAGCCTACGCAAGGTCAATGACGACCAGCCAACGGCGCTGTAGAGATCACAATGATGTGTTAGACGTTTTTGATTGGTAATGAACCTGAGGGCCGCATGATATACTGAATCAAGTGCTCTCAGGGTAGTGATTGAGGCCTACATACAGTGAGGGAAAAAAGTATTTGATCCCCTGCTGATTTTGTACTTTTACCACTGACAAAGAAATACTAAGTCTATAATTTTAATGGTAGGTTTATTTGAACAGTGAGAGACAGAATAACAATAAAAAAATCCTGAAAAACGCATGTCAAAAATGTTTTAAATTGATTTGCATTTTAATGAGGGAAATAAGTATTTGACCCCCTCTCAATCAGAAAGATTTTTGGCTCCGAGGTGTATTTTATACAGGTAACGAGCTGAGATTAGGAGCACACTTGCTCCTAGTCTCAGTTTGTTACCTGTATAAAAGACACCTGTCCACAGAAGCAATCAATCAGATTCCAAACTCTCCACCATGGCCAAGACCAAAGAGCTCTCCAAGAATGTCAGGGACAAGATTGTAGACCTTCACAAGGCTGGAATGGGCTACAAGACCATCGCCAAGCAGCTTGGTGAGAAGGTGAAAATAGTTGGTGCGATTATTCGCAAATGGAAGAAACACAAAATAACTGTCAATCTCCCTCGGCCTGGAGCTCCATGCAAGATCTCACCTCGTGGAGTTGCAATGATCATGAGAACGGTGAGGAATCAGCCCAGAACTACATGGGAGGATCTTGTCAATGATCTCAAGGCAGCTGGGACCATAGTCACCAAGAAAACAATTGGTAACACACTACGCCGTGAAGGACTGAAATCCTGCAGCGCCCGCAAGGTCCCCCCTTCTCAAGAAAGCACATATACAGGCCCGTCTGAAGTTTGCCAATGAACATCTGAATGATTGGCATCAACTCAACTCGCCGTGTTTGGAGGAGGAGGAATGCTGCCTATGACCCCAAGAACACCATCCCCACTGTCAAACATGGAGGTGGAAACATTATGCTTTGGGGGTGTTTATCTGCTAAGGGGACAGGACAACTTCACCGCATCAAAGGGACGATGGACGGGGCCATGTACCGTCAAATCTTGGGTGAGAACCTCCTTCCCTCAGCCAGGGCTTTGAAAATGGGTCGTGGATGGGTATTCCAGCATGACAATGACCCAAAACACATGGCCAAGGCAACAAAGGAGTGGCTCAAGAAGAAGCACATTAAGGTCCAGGAGTGGCCTAGCCAGTCTCCAGACCTTAATCCCATAGAAAATCTGTGGAGGGAGCTGAAGGTTCGAGTTGCCAAACGTCAGGCTCGAAACCTTAATGACTTGGAGAAGATCTGCAAAGAGGAGTGGGACAAAATCCCTCCTGAGATGTGTGCAAACCTGGTGGCCAACTACAAGAAACGTCTGACCTCTGATTGCCAACAAGGGTTTTGCCACCAAGTACTAAGTCATGTTTTGCAGAGGGGTCAAATACTTATTTCCCTCATTAAAATGCAAATCAATTTATAACATTTTTGACATGCGTTTTTCTGGAATTTTATGTTGTTATTCTGTCTCTCACTGTTCAAATAAACCTACCATTAAAATTATGTCTTTGTCAGTGGGCAAACGTACAAAATCAGCAGGGGATCAATTACTTTTTTCCCTCACTGTATATATTTATAACATCACTAAAATCGAAAACCGCCAGTAATGTACATCGTACCAGCTCCTTCCTGGCCTCCAGAGAAAAACAAGACATATGCCGGTAATAAAAGCCTATTCTCGGTTTGAGCTTCCTTATCAAGTTCTCCACATGAACAGTGAAGCTCAGCTTGTCATCCACCCACACTCCCAAATATTTGTACACATCCAATGAAGCAAATTTGAAAATGCCATGCATTTTGTTTTACCTGAAATCAGAACCAGCTTCAAATCATACAGATTCTGTTGTATGGTGTTAAAAGCTATTTGGCCATTTTCAAAAGCTAAAGATAAACTACAACCACTTGAATAAAGAACAGTATCATCTGCATAAAAATGAACATCCGCTATTTCAATATAATCCCCAATGTTGTTGATATACGAAATGAACAACAGTGTGCCCAAAATAGAACCTTGCGGAACACCTGAGCACAACTGTATGGACTCAGATTTACAACCATCCACCAATACACATTGTGTACGATTTGATAGGTAATTTATAAACCAAACTGGAGCATGAAGCTGGTTGAGAGAATGCCAAGCGTGTGCAAAGCTGTCATCAAGGCAAAGGGTGGCTATTTTGAAGAATCTCAAATATATTTTGATTTGTTTAACACTTTTTTGGTTACTACATGATTCCATATGTGTTATTTCATAGTAGTGATGTCTTCACTATTATTCTACAATGTAGAAAATAGTAAAAATAAAGAAAAACCCTGGAATGAGTAGGTGTGTCCAAACATTTGACTGGTACTGTGAGATATATACACTGCTCAAAAAAATTAAGGGAACACTAAAATAACACATCCTAGATATGAATGAATGAAATAATCTTATTAAATACTTTTTTCTTTACATAGTTGAATGTGCTGACAACAAAATCACACAAAAATTATCAATGGAAATCAAATGTATCAACCCATGGAGGTCTGGATTTGGAGTCACCCTCAAAATTAAAGTGGAAAACCACACTACAGGCTGATCCAACTTTGATGTAATGTCCTTAAAACAAGTCAAAATGAGGCTCAGTAGTGTGTGTGGCCTCCACGTGCCTGTATGACCTCCCTATAACGCCTGGGCATGCTCCTGATGACGTGGCAGATGGTCTCCTGAGGGATCTCCTCCCAGACCTGGACTAAAGCATCCGCCAACTCCTGGACAGTCTGTGGTGCAACGTGGCGTTGGTGGATGGAGCGAGACATGATGTCCCAGATGTGCTCAATTGGATTCAGGTCTGGGGAACGGGCGGGCCAGTCCATAGCATCAATGCCTTCCTCTTGCAGGAACTGCTGACACACTCCAGCCACATGAGGTCTAGCATTGTCTTGCATTAGGAGGAGGAACCCAGGGCCAACCGCACCAGCATATGGTCTCACAAGGGGTCTGAGGATCTCATCTCGGTACCTAATGGCAGTCAGGCTACCTCTGGCGAGCACATGGAGAGCTGTGTGGCCCCCCAAAGAAATGCCACCCCACACCATGACTGACCCACCGCCAAACCGGTCATGCTGGAGGATGTTGCAGGCAGCAGAACGTTCTCCACGGCGTCTCCAGACTCTGTCACGTCTGTCACATGTGCTCAGTGTGAACCTGCTTTCATCTGTGAAGAGCACAGGGCGCCAGTGGCAAATTTGCCAATCTTGGTGTTCTCTGGCAAATGCCAAACGTCCTGCACGGTGTTGGGCTGTAAGCACAACCCCCACCTGTGGACGTCGGGCCCTCATACCACCCTCATGGAGTCTGTTTCTGACCGTTTCAGCAGACACATGCACATTTGTGGCCTGCTGGAGGTCATTTTGCAGGGCTCTGGCAGTGCTCCTCCTGCTCTTCCTTGCACAAAGGTCGGAGGTAGCAGTCCTGCTGCTGGGTTGTTGCCCTCCTACGGCCTCCTCCACGACTCCTGATGAACTGGCCTGTCTCCTGGTAGCGCCTCCATGCTCTGGACACTACGCTGACAGACACAGCAAACCTTCTTGCCACAGCTCGCATTGATGTGCCATCCTGGATGAGCTGCACTACCTGAGCCACTTGTGTGGGTTGTAGACTCCGTCTCATGCTACCACTAGAGTGAAAGCACCGCCAGCATTCAAAAGTGACCAAAACGTCAGCCAGGAAGCATAGGAACTGAGAAGTTGTCTGTTGTCACCACCTGCAAAACCAGTCCTTTATTGGGGGGTGTCTTGCTAATTGCCTATAATTTCCACCTGTTGTCTATTCCATTTGCACAACAGCATGTGAATTGTATTGTCAATCAGTGTTGCTTCCTAAGTGGACAGTTTGATTTCACAGAAGTGTGATTGACTTGGAGTTACATTGTGTTGTTTAAGTGTTCCCTTTTTTTTTTAGCAATATATATATATAATATATATATATATCCTGCAGTCAAATGACCAAATCACCCAGCCTAGCGGTTAAGAGTGTTGGGCCAGTAACCGAAAGGTCGCTGGTTCGAATCCCCGAACCGACTAGTTGAAAAATCTGTCGATGTGCCCTTGAGCAAGGCACTTAACCCTAATTGCTCCTGTAATAAGAGCGGATAAGAGCGTCTGCTAAATGTCACAACATGTCAAATGTAGTTGCCTCATGGGTGGAATGTTAATATTTTTCATAATTTCATATTTAATAAACATTATTTCAAAAACCTGTAGAAAATTTTGTTTCTATGTCAAATGGTTTTGTTATATTTCAGTCTTCTGTGATGTATAAAAAGTATAACATTGGGATGCAAACTCAAAGTTGAATACATTTCAACTCTATATCTGACATGTTACAGGTGTCTTTTTTATAAGCCAATAACCATGTGTGTGAGGTGTATCCTTCTGTTTCAAAGTAGATTTGTTTGACTACCAAGAAACACTACCAAGACCCTGATTTACCCCATTGCAGTAAAAGGTTAAATTAAGTGAAAATGGGTGCACATGAGGTCCCGTAACTGCTTTATACAGTACAAATATCGATCTAAACAGCATTTTTGTGGAGGTGAATGTGGCAATCTGCCTTTATTGCAAAATCTAAAGAAAATAAAACTATCACCTACGCTAGCGAATGTTAAATAGCTACAGTAAATAATTGAAGATGCACAATATATTCAAAGCTAGCTGGCTGGCTAGCTAGCTACGCGCTTTTCATTGTTTATCATACTGTTAGAAATTTCATGAATTTTAACTACATTAAAATGCCATAAATCAATCATTTCAAAGCTCACTACATGTAATCATACATCATTTAAAAAGCTTAAAAGCCCATTTCATAGAGAATGTTACAAACTGGACTATATGTAGTAACTTACATTAAAATAGATAGTGATTGGGTCTAAATTGGCAATTGGTAGGCTAAATTAATTTAACTTCTCTAACTGCCATTTCCCAAAAGGCAGACTCAGCTTCAAAAGCATCTGCACTCACAAAATGTTGTGTGTTACCCATAGATATATTCTCCAGACTTATATAGAGGGAATTGTTGATATGTCAAATTTTGATTCAACATAACATTTTCTTTAGAAATATGCACTAAAAATGCAGTTTCCGTACGTCTTCAGTATTTTACAGATAGAAAGATGAAAAAAGTACATATCCACAATCTGTAAATGTGATATTTCCGGGTTTTTTTATGTAATACATTTGCAAAAATGTCTAAAAACATGTTTTTGTTTTGTCATTATGGGATATTGTGTGTTGGAGGTTCTACATCGTGGTAATGTCATTCGGAAACACAATGTCAACTTTCACTGCTATGCGGACGACACACAGCTGTACATTTCGATGAAACATATATCGATCTAAACCCCAAAATTGCCTACCCTGGAAACCTGTGTTTCAGACATAAGGAAGTGGATGGCGGCAAATGTTTTACTTTTAAACTCGGACAAAACTAGTGCTAGGTCCCAAGAAACTAAGAGATATGCTATTGGATCTGACAATTAATATTGATGGTTGTACAGTAGTCTCAAATAAAACTGTGAAGGACCTCGGCGTTACTCTGGACCCTGATCTTTCTTTTGATGAACAATCAAGAATTTAACATTGCAAAAATCAGGAACTAATCTAATCCATGCTTTGTCACTTCTAGATTAGACTACTGCATTGCTCTACTCTCCGGCTACCCAGATAAAGCACAAAATAAACTTCAGTTAATGCTAAACACAGCTAGAATCTTGAATAGAACCAAAACATTTGATCATATTACTCCAGTGCTAGCATCTCTACACTGGCTTTCTGTTAAGGCTAGGGCTGATTTCAAGGTTTTAATGCTAACCTACAAAGCATTACATGGGTTGCGCCTACGTATCGCGCCGATTTGGTCCTGCCGTACATACCTACACCTACGCTACGGTCACAAGACGCAGGCCTCCTTATTTTCCCTAGAATTTCTAAGCAAACAGCTGGAGCCATGTGAGAGACACAGACTTGGTCTTTAAGTCTTTACAGAAGACTCATCTCTTCAGTAGGTCCTATGATTGAGTGTAGTCTGGCCCAGGGGTGCGAAGGTGAACGGCAAGGCACTGGAGCGACGAACCGCTCTTGTTGTCTCGCGGCTCCCCTCTCTCCACTGGGATTCTCTGCCTCTGACCCTATTATGGGGGCTGAGTCACTGGCTTACTAGTGCTCTTCCATGCTGTCCCTTGGAGGGGTGCGTCACTTGAGTGGGTTGAGTCACTGACGTGATCTTCCTGTCCGGTTTTGCGCCCCCTCGGGCTCGTGCGGTGGAGGAGCTCTTCGTGGGCTATACTCAGCCTTGTCTCAGTAGTAAGTTGGTGGTCTGTTTATCCCTCTAGTGGTGTGGGGGCTGTGCTTTGGCAAGGTGGGTGGGGTTATATCCTGCCTGGTTGGCCCTGTCCGGGGGTATTGTTGGACGGGGCCACAGTGTACCCCGACCCCCCGTCTTAGCCTCCAGTATCTATGCAACAATAGTCTATGTGCCGGGGGGCTAGGGTCAGTCTGTTATATCTGGTGGAATTCTCCTGTCTTATCTGGTGTCGTGTGCATTTAAGTATGCTCCCTCTAATTCTCTCTCTCTCTCTCCCCTCCCAGAGGACCTGAGCCCTAGGACCATGCCTCAGGACAACCTGGCCTGATGACTCCTGGCTATCCCCAGTCCACCTGGTCGTGCTGCTGCTCCATTTTCAACTGCTCTATGGAACCCTGACCTGTTCACCGGACGTGCTACCCAGACCTGCTGTTTTCGACTCGCTCTCTACCACACCTGCTGTCTCGACCTCTGAATGCTCGGCTATGAAAAGCCAACTGACATTTACTCCTGAAGTACTGACTTGTTGCACCCTTTACAACCACTGTGATTATTATTTGACCCTGCTGGTCATCTATGAACATATTTTAGAACAATCTGGCCTTAATGGCCATGTACTCTTATAATCTCCACCTGGCACAGCCAGAAGAGGGCTTGCCACCCCTCAGAGCCTGGTTCCTCTCTAGGTTTCTTCCTAGGTTCCTACCTTTCTAGGGAGTTTTTCCTAGCCACCTTGCTTCTACATCTGCATAGCTTGCTGTTTGGGGTTTTAGGCTGGGTTTCTGTATAGCACTTTGTGACATCTGCTGATCGGCTTTATAAATACATTTGATTTCATAGAAAATGACTCAAGTAGTCACCCAGTAAAATATTACTTGAGTAAAAGTAAAAGTGTTTGGTTTAAATTATACTTAAGTATCAAAAGTAAAAAAAAAAAAAAAAAAAAAAAAAATGTAATTGCTAAAATATACTTAAGTATCAAAAGTATACATCATTTCAAATTCCTTATATTAAGCAAATCAGAAGGCACAATGTGTTTAAATTTACTGCTAGCCAGGGGCACACTCAAACACAGACATAATTTACAAACAAATATGTGTTTCATGAGTCCGCCAGATTAGAGGCAGAAGAGATGACCAGGGATGTACTTTTGGGTGTCATGTGCAGCTGTAAAACAGTTTATTTCTGTATTTTGCGTTTTGAAAACGCGTGACTGTTTATGGCTGTAATGACAGGCTACATTTGTAAGCTCGTGCAAATTGTAGGGCGAGATGATTGCCATAAATATGCAGCTCCAAGAAAAATGGTGATCAAGCATATGAGCTGTTTACTTTGAAAGCTCACCAGAAATGGGCCATCGAGCAACAATTACTAGCATAGGCCTACTGGTCTTTTGGTATGTCAAAATTGCTTGAAATTGATCATTTACTTATGAAGCTTGCATTTGGAATTTGTTTAAATGTATTATTGCATAATCAAAATGTGTTGTAGACTACATAATGAAAAGGGCTGTCTGGTAGCCTCAATAAATACAAAGACAGTATATTTGTAGTTAAACAAGTCATTGCCTGTATAGAATTGTATTTACTTGACTTGCTCTTAGAATGCATGACTCGGCCTTGACGCCACACGTTCTACTTGGGGCTTGACTTGAGACTTGGACCCACCTCTATGATTTGGCATTTGAACTATTCTAGTTGAACCAGTTGAGCTGACAGACGTTTTGCACTGTTTCGCTATGATTTTAGTGAAGTTCGCAAGAGGGCAATATTTTATTACTTTTAGCTTTCGCCTGGAATTGTTTTTCTGAGAAAAAAAAACACTAACACATCTGAGCTAGTACACAATAAAAGTATAATAAACATACAAATATGATTTAAAATAAATGTGTGAATGAATAAATCCCTTTTCATACACACGGAACATCTACCCAAAATATTTCACCTTTATTACTTTACCAAACATGACATTAGGGAGTCAAAATCTGTTCACTTCTAAATTCAACATTTGGGCCATTTAAACAGCATGCGTCCCTCCTATAGACAAGTAGGAGAATGGCTATGTAACGGGATCGATTTTGTCGTTCTGAGCATTTGCGATGTGTCTGCTTCCGACGTAAAACAAAATGTTTGACTTCCACACAAAATCACCTCTACTTATTTTACGTTTAAGGAAGTGTGTAGGTCGCGTTCTTTATCGTAGAGCTATGAAAGTGATGTATTTAGATCCGCCTGCTCAAGACAAATTCAGCGATTGCTTTCCCATGTCTATGCCGTGAAGCAGTCGAGCTGGATAAAAAAAGTGTTTCTAAGGACCGCCCGTTTGACGTAACGTTGAAGTGAAGTGATAAATTGATGTAATGATGAAGCCGACCACCAGAGGGAGGCAAATACACTTTTGTGACAGGACGTTTACATTGTCCTAGGAAGCTCTGGGTGGCTGTCTGACTTATAGAATAGTGGGAAATCAAATCAAATAAGTCATGTAAACGTTTAAGTAATTTTAGTGCCTGATTTCAGAGACTGTCTTCATACACTTCCTATTGATGGGACTCCACTCTATCCGCTCCCACGGCTCTGAGATGACCAGTATGATGAGTGGCCCTCTGTTCTCATTGAATGAGATGATTTAGTGGATCTGAGAGATTCAACAGAATGTTGCTCTGATCCCCCAGTGTGCGTCCTCCGTGAGGTATCATCCACAGAGTGGTGAAATGGCAGGCCTTTATGTGTTGGGGCCTCCATAGGCTCTGAGGAAGAGGGCTTGGATGGAGAGTGTTGAGCCAGGTAGGCTGCCACAGATAGCTGATGTGGTTGTGTGGATCATCTCTTATGAGATCAGGTTATGTGGGGGAAACCTCATAGGCTCTCAAATGGGCTGGGGGCTTTTTCCCCTTCCGGCTCTTTCCACCCAAAACAGGCTTCTCTTTAGCTCCTGCTGGTTGTGCACTTGGCTGTGAGACAGTGGAAGTTCCACTTGCTTGCATCTTATATGTGCCGGGCCCAGCTATGGCGGAGTCAGGCTGAGGTTCGCCACTGAGGGTGGAGGAATTAAGGTCCCCGTCCATGGGAACACCTGTATTCCACTCCATTTCTGGCCAAATGACCACTTTTTCATGGCAGGTTGCCTATTTTGAATGCACTGGGAGAGGTTGGAGGTGATACAGATGCAGGTGTCCCAGTTAGAGGACAAGGATAGGGAGAGAGACTTGAGGTTCCGTTTTAGGGAGCGTTTTCTCCAATCAAACATAATCCATCTTAATTCCATTGACTTGTGTATGTGCTAAAATAAACAAAAACATATTTGCATCATAAACATAATAATATTAATTGTCATACACATAGTAACACAATCTCAGAGAGCCAGAAGCCAAACCATAATTATAATTCTCTCCAAAGCATTTACAAATAGATTCACTATAAAAACGTGTACATTTGACCATTTCATTGCATGAACAAAATATATCCACACGCAGCAACATTCAAACATGTTACCACTAATTATACAACAGTGCATCATAAAATACACATCTACACAGACATGAAAAATAAAGTAAAATAAAAACAATATGGTGGGTTACTCACATTTGGGTATTGGACACAAACGTCAATAAAAGGATGAATGCTGGAGAGGTTTGTACTACTGCCTGGCACTGAAACTAAAAGAAACTCAGGTATTTAACTAATTAAATTGGTTGCAGGTTTGCTCAGAGCATAGAGATATAGAGAGATCTATAGTACCCAAAAGCCTATATTACTAGACGCAGCACCATTGTGGACTGATACGTTGTGATCTCTATACATCTCTATGGCTCAGAGGTGCCTGCAATTAAAGGGACAGTTAACTAAAAGGTGCAATTAAAGGGACAGTTAACAAAAAAATGTGAGAAGAATTAGAGCCCTGTTCTACAATGAGATAATATCAGTCAGCTAACGTGGCCTTTATGAATTATGAAGCCTGTATGTGCTTTCTGTGCTTGTTTTGATTACATCAATGCTTCAAAATACACAAAAACTGACGTTAGCTGATGAAGACGATCTCATAGAACAAAAGGCCTGTGCATACCACAGACCTTATTTTTGGCGTTTATCCAAAAACCCTCCAAAACCCCCATTAATTTTCCCATAGGCTTTGGCAAACTAGCCATGGCAGAGTTTCAACTAGCCATGGCGGAGTTAGTGCCTACAAAAAGACGCCATTGCTCTCTATCGAAAAAAATTGTCAAATTTCCTGTCAAGGAGCCAGGGTTCCGGTCTAGAAAGAACGCTTTCGACTGCTCCTAAAGTCTTGCTTCGGTACTGCAGTTTAACTGACGCCGGCCGCAAGTACCACTCGCTGTCCTCCCCTCAGCAGTCTCCACTGGTGTGTGTGTGTGTGTGTGTGTGTGTGTGTGTGTGTGTGTGTGTGTGTGTGTGTGTGTTGGGGGTGTAAGCATGTGTATGTGTGGGTAGAGTCCAGTGTGTGTGCATAGAGTCAGTGCAAGAGAGTTAGTTCAAAAAAGGGTCAATGCAGATAGTCCAGTTAACCATTTGATTAGCTATTTAGCAGCCTTGTTTAGCAGTCTTATGGCTTGGGGGTATAAGCTGTTCAGGGTCCTGTTGGTTCCAGACTTGGTGCACTGGTACCGCTTGTCATGTGGTAGCAGAGAGAACAGTCTATAGCTTGGGTGGCTGGAGTCTTGGATGATTTTTTGGGCTTTCCTCTGACACCGCCTGGTATAGCGGTCCTAGATGGCACCCCTTGACTTATTCTACATTTTGTTGTGTTACAGCCTGAATTCTAAATGGATTGAATCTTTTTTTTCCCCTCACCCATCTACACACAATACCCCATAATGACAAAGTGAAAACATATATATCTTTTTGCAAATGTATTGATAATGAAATACAGAAATATCTCATTTTCATAAGTATTCACACCACTGAGTCAATACATGTTAGAATCACCTTTGGCAGCGATTACAGCTGTGAGTCTTTCTGGGTAAGTCTCTAAGAGCTTTGCACACCTGAATTGTACAATATTTGCACAACATTATTTTTTAAATTCTCCAAGCTCAGTCAAGTTGGTTGTTGATCATTGCTAGAAAGCCATGTCTTGCCATAGATTCTCAAGCAGATTTAAGTCAAAACTGTAACTAGACCACTCAGGAACATTCAATGTTGTCTTGGTAAGCAACTCCAGTGTATATTTGGCCTTGTGTTTTAGGTTATTGTCCTGCTGAAAGGTGAATTTGTCTCCCAGTGTCTGCTGGAAAGCAGGCTGAACCAGGTTTTCTTCTAGGATTTTGCCTGCGCTTAGCTCTATTCCGTTTATTTTTATCCACCCCCCAAAAGTCCCTAGTCCTTGCCGATGACAGGCATACTCATAACATGATGCAGCCACCACCAACCATGCTTGAAAATATGAAGAGTGGTACTCAGTGATGTGTTGTGTTAAATTTGCCCCAAACATAATGCTTTGTATTCAGGACATAAAGTTAATTTCTTTGCCACATTTTTCTTGCAGTTTTACTTTAGTGCCTTATTGCAAACAGGATGCATGTTTTGGAATATGTTTATTCTGTACAGGCTTCCTTCTTTTCACTCTGTCTTTTAGGTTAGTATTGTGGAGTAACTACAATGTTGTTGATCCATCCTCAGTTTTCTCCTATCACAGCCATTAAACTCTGTATAATATAATATAATATGCCATTTAGCAGACGCTTTTATCCAAAGCGACTTACAGTCATGTGTGCATACATTTTTACGTATGGGTGGTCCCAGGGATCGAACCCACTACCCTGGCGATACAAGCGCCATGCTCTACCAATTGAGCTACAGAGGACCACTGTAACTGTTTTAAAGTCACCATTGGCCTCATGGTGAAATCCCTGAGTGGTTTCCTTCCTCTCCGGCAACTAAGTTAGGAAGGACTCCTGTATCTTTGTAGTGACTGGTTGTATTGATACACCATCCAAAGTGTAATTATCTGAGGGACCTTACATATACAGTGGGGGAAAAAAAGTATTTAGTCAGCCACCAATTGTGCAAGTTCTCCCACTTAAAAAGATGAGAGAGGCCTGTAATTTTCATCATAGGTACACGTCAACTATGACAGACAAAATGAGGAATAAAAATCCAGAAAATCACATTGTAGGATTTTTAATGAATTTACTTGCAAATTATGGTGGAAAATAACTATTTGGTCAATAACAAAAGTTTCTCAATACTTTGTTATATACCATTTGTTGGCAATGACACAGGTCAAACGTTTTCTGTAAGTCTTCACAAGGTTTTCACACACTGTTGCTGGTATTTTGGCCCATTCCTCCATGCAGATCTCCTCTAGAGCAGTGATGTTTTGGGGCTGTCGCTGGGCAACATGGACTTTCAACTCCCTCCAAAGATTTTCTATGGGGTTGAGATCTGGAGACTGGCTAGGCCACTCCAGGACCTTGAAATGCTTCTTACGAAGCCACTCCTTCGTTGCCCGGGCGGTGTGTTTGGGATCATTGTCATGCTGAAAGACTCAGCCACGTTTCATGCCCTTGCTGATGGAAGGAGGTTTTCACTTAAAATCTCACGATACATGGCCCCATTCATTCTTTCCTTTACACGGATCAGTCGTCCTGGTCCCTTTGCAGAAAAACAGCCCCAAAGCATGATGTTTCCACCCCCATGCTTCACAGTAGGTATGGTGTTCTTTGGATGCCACTCAGCATTCTTTGTCCTCCAAACACGACGAGTTGAGTTTTTACCAAAAAGTTATATTTTGGTTTCATCTGACCATATGACATTCTCCCAATCCTCTTCTGGATCATCCAAATGCACTCTAGCAAACTTCAGACGGGCCTGGACATGTACTGGCTTAAGCAGGGGGACACGTCTGGCACTGCAGGATTTGAGTCCCTGGCGGCGTAGTGTGTTACTGATGGTAGGCTTTGTTACTTTGGTCCCAGCTCTCTGCAGGTCATTCACTAGGTCCCCCCGTGTGGTTCTGGGGTTTTTGCTCACCGTTCTTGTGATCATTTTGACCCCACGGTGTGAGATCTTGCGTGGAGCCCCAGATCGAGGGAGATTATCAGTGGTCTTGTATGTCTTCCATTTCCTAATAATTGCTCCCACAGTTGATTTCTTCAAACCAAGCTGCTTACCTATTGCAGATTCAGTCTTCCCAGCCTGGTGCAGGTCTACAATTTTGTTTCTGGTGTCCTAAGACAGCTCTTTGGTCTTGGCCATAGTGGAGTTTGGAGTGTGACTGTTTGAGGTTGTGGACAGGTGTCTTTTATACTGATAACAAGTTCAAACAGGTGCCATTAATACAGGTAACGAGTGGAGGACAGAGGAGCCTCTTAAAGAAGAAGTTACAGGTCTGTGAGAGCCAGAAATCTTGCTTGTTTGTAGGTGACCAAATACTTATTTTCCACCATAATTTGCAAATAAATTCATTAAAAATCCTACAATGTGGTTTTCTGGATTTTTTTCTTCTCAATTTGTCTGTCACAGTTGACGTGTACCTATGATGAAAATTACAGGCCTCTCTCATCTTTTTAAGTGGGAGAACTTGCACAATTGGTGGCTGACTAAATACTTTTTTCCCCCACTGTAATTGTGTGTGTGGGGTACAGAGAGGAGGTAGTCATTCAAAAATCATGTTAAACCATGCAACTTACTATGTGACTTGTTAAGCACATTTTTACTCCTGAACTTATTTAGGCTTGCCATAACAAAGGGGTTGAATACTTATTGACTCAAGATATGTCAGCTTTTCATTTGTAATTCATTTGTAAAAATGTATAAAAACATTATTTCACGTTGACATTTTGGGTATTGTGTGTAGGTCAGTGACACACGGGTATAAGCTTACTCAGTGACACACACAGAAAACAATTGTCAAGAGTTTACACAAATATTGGTGTCTTAGCTCTTATTGCAGGACTTTGACTGTTGGAAATCTCCTTCCCAGTCTATTGTGCGTATTGAACAGCCTACTCAGCCTACACAGTGACACCCACAGAACACAACTATGTAGAGTTTACACTAATATTAGCGTTTTAGCTCTTACTGCAGGACTCTGAAACCACTGTGAAATTACCGCATTAAGCTTACCAGTCAAATTTTTTTACATTTTAGTAATTTAGCAGACGCTCTTATCCAGAGCGCCTTACAGTTCGTGAGTGCATACATTATTTTATTTTTCATACTGGCCCCCCGTGGGAATTGAACCCACAACCCTGGCGTTGCAAACACCATGCTCTACCAACTGAGCTACATCCCTGCTGGCCATTCCCTCCCCTACCCTGGACGACGCAGGGCCAATTATGCGCCGCCCCATGGGTCTCCCGGTCGCGGCCGGCTACGACAGAGCCTGGATGTCAACCTATGTCTATTGGAAATTCATTTTGTACTGTACAGCCTTACCTATAGAGTGTGCACTCATGAAATGGGGTATCAGCCTACTCAGTGACACCCACAGAACACAACTATGTAGAGTATACACAAATATTAGCATCATAGTTCTTATTGCAGGACTCTGAAACCACTGTGAAATGAGCCACATTAAGCTTACCAGTCAATCTACTGTGTGCATGGGGCGAAAGCAACCAACTGTAGACAAAAGTCGAGGAGTGAAGTCGGGAGAGGTGCATCTGTGACAGCCCAAAGTCAGACACTAATGTGGTTTTCCAACAACAAGGCTCAGATCAACATGGCAGTGTTGCCATTGTTTATAAAAGTTATTCTTTATAATGTCGAAATTAACATTGGTTCCTGTTTCAGTCATGTTCACGTGGGTCAATTAAAAACACCCTAATAATTGGTACCCCCCCGTAGCTCAGTTGGTAGAGCATGGTGCTTGCAACGCCAGGGTTGTGGGTTTGTTTCCCAGGGGGGGCCAGTATGAAAATGTATGCACTCACTAACTGTAAGTCGCTCTGGATAAGAACGTCTGCTAAATGACTAAAATGTAAATGTAAAAATGTTGACAGTAGAGCCTCCCACAATGCAGGCGATGGCTGCAGGATAAAGTTGGTGAAGAGCAACTACAGAAACTGGCAGTCAAAATGTCATGACACTTGATTTTTGTAAAGTTCATGCACTCGACATGTCGGCCAATTTTCATCCCCATAATGCAACACACTTTGAAAGGTGACAAAAGTGATCTGCTCGAACTTACCATTAACATATTAAATTCAACCATAGAGAATGATGCAGGCCTCTAGTGGCCAAAAGGTAGTCTTAGCATGGGCAGCGCCAATGAGGGCTTCCACCATTTTAATGTAGTCAACTAATTGGGAACTAGGAAACTCTGAAATTTCCGACATGCTAACAGGTTGAACGTGTATAGCTACAACCAGTTATCAAGTCGGACATCCCAGAGTTTCCTAGTTCTGACTAGCACTTGAACACGGCATTAATGCTGCGTTCAAAACAACTGGGAACTCGGTACTGGGAACTCTGAAATCTCCTACTTCCGACTTCAGTGCGTGCGAAACAATTGAAAACTCTGGAGAAAACAAAAACTTGCTCCGACTGGGAAAAATAGTTTTGAACGGTCATCCAACTCAGAATTCCAACTCGGGAACTCGGGCCACTTTCTAGAGCTCCGACTTTCATACCTCTGAAAAATACAAGGTCAAATCATGACGTCAGTGATCTTCAGGTCGGAAAGTTGGAGTTCTAGAAAGAAGCCGAGTTCCAGAGTTAGAATTCCGAGTTGTTTGAAAGCACTGAAGTCAAAAGAGATTTCCAATTGCCCAGTTCTGAGTTCCCGAGTTGGAATTCCGAGTTAGATGACCATTCAAATCGATTTTCCCAGATGGAGCTCGTTTTTATCCGAGTTCCCTGTTGTTTTGAATGCACTGAAGTCAAAAGTCGGAGATTTCCGATTTCCCAGTTCCCAGTTTTGAACGCAGCAATATGCCCTGGAACTAGCCGTTCTCCGACGTCATCATAGACCAGCCCCCTTTACTGGCGTTATTTTTGCCAAATTCAATCTGCTGCGCCTTCTAAAAGTAAAGATGGATTTAGTAGAGGTGTTGAGAAATGCGTTTACATTTATATATAAGAAAGCCCAGCTCTGGACTGTAGGTGGTGGTATTACTGTTGTCGCACTTGGACTTGGATATACGTTTTTACTAAGGCCGAAGAAAGTTACCCGCGTGGGAGTTGTGTCACAGATACTCATTCACCCACTGAAGTCGGGTAGAGCTGTCTCCGTGGCCCTTGCAGAATGTAAACAGATCGGTTTGAAGTACGGTGAACTTAGAGATCGGTTTGTAACATTTTATTCTGACCTTTTCCGAATATATTATTGCAATATGTTTTTTACAAGTAGCTAATGCACTGCTTGAATTGGTCCCAAACGTTACATAAGCCGTGTCAACATAGCTACTGTATTTTATGTTGTCATCCTTTCTCACAACTATTGATCGAAGTAATTGCATGTTGCCTAACCCTAATAACAACAATAACAAATAGTATGTTTATCAATTATTCAAGTGAATCATTTAAGTGAAAGATCAGAACATGTCAGGGAAATGTTGTGGTGGTCATTCTGATGAGATACCGCTCAACAATGTACAGATCCGATCAAATATATTGGCACCTTGCACTTTTTCAATGGAGGTCAATGGAGCATAATGTTCTGTAAAATAGGCTACTAAAATCATTCCAATCCTGATTAAAAGGCAAATGCAGTTTAGTGGCATTATTTGGCTTACTTTGGGACCATGTGAATGCCTGGGAGCGTGAGGGAAGGCTGTTTGTATGGTTGGTTGGCTGGCTTTATGGAGAGCCATATGGTTTGCTGACGGGAGCGGCTTTGAAGCCACCGGTCGGCCATATTGGCATTCCTCAGAAAAGCAGTCCTCCATAGGAATGAATGGGCGGATTCGATTATGCTGTGCCACCGGGCAAAGGCCCGTTACGTCATCGGACAAAAGCAGGGAGGGTGGAGCACCCTTCTCAAATCGAACAGTCATCTGTGCTGCTCGGTCATTTTGTCAACAAGGTAGCATAGTGCATCGTCCAGAAACATGCATATCTTTTCCATAAAATAAATGTTAGAATTTTCTAACTCGTTTTCATTGAGAAGGCAGATAAGCTTAAAAGTAATCACTTTTCCATGTGAAAACACAGAATCCTACTCATTACTCTACATGCTCCTGTGTCACATTGTTTTGAACGGGGCACCTGGCTCACGCCTGGGAGGCAGCCCGGTTCCAAAACGAATGCAATCAACTTTCACCCATTGCAAAACATGCCTACATGGGCCCCAGGCAAGAGTAATCGAACCCCCTACATGTAATTCTATAGTATTTCATTTAAATGTTTCAAGGACAAATTATATGTATTTAAGTATTTTTTGGTTGTAGTGGGGACAGTAACATTAATACTTTAAAAAATATATACTTTAAAGAAATAGTTTGTGTGTATATATATTATTTTAGTTTAGCTCACATAATATAATGTAAAAGTATGCATTAAGGTGTCTGTAATATAATACATGTGGCAAAAACAAATGTAGACATTCATAAATGCATTTCTTTAGCTTCCCAAATATTTTCTTTACAATGGTGGGGAATGCCAAGATTGAGGTGCGGTAGCTTCAAAACAGCGTCCCGTAAGTCATCTAGTGTATAAATCATTGTGGAGAGCACATTGATGCAGCTGCAGGGAACAGTGTAACTTTTTCTCAAAACAGTGCAGAGGTAAAGATGGCTGTAGTAGAGGGCTTTGGCTTGGTAACTTCTGTTTGACTTGACATTAAACTAAACTAGAGTTTTAATCCCGTACTGAGCTCGTGCATAGCAGTTCATTCTTGTATAACATGTATTTGTAGAACGTTAAGTCAAATAACATTTTATTGGTCACATGCGCCGAATACAACAGGTGTAGACTTTACAGTGCCCATCCCAACAATGCAGAATTAAAAGGTAAGACAAATATTTGCTAAATAAAAAAGTAAATAGTAACACAATAACAAGGCTATATACAAGGAGTACCAGTACCAAGTCAATGTGCAGGGTTACGAGGTAGTTGAGGTAATACTTTTCCCCCTACCCACATGTAAATACTGTAACTAGGCAATCAGGATATATAATAAACAGAGTAGCAGCAGTGTATTTGACTGTGAATGTGTGTTTTGTGTGTGAGCGTATGTAGTGTGTTGGAGTGTCAGTGTAGTATGTGTGTGTGAGAGTCTAGTGAGTGTGCATAGAAAATAAAGTCCCCTATTGACTGAGGTGACTGAAGCTACAGAAACAAGGTGATAATGGCTGGAGTAAATGTAGCTTGTTCCCCCCCTTTAATTGTGTTTTAATGTAGGCACTGGCTGGTGATCACTGAGGATGGCCACATGGTGACGGGGAGGCAGGAGCCTCGCCTAGTGCTGGTGTCGTTGACCAGTGAGGGGGGACAGATGTGTCTGAATGGACCCGACATGGAGCAGCTGAGGTTCCCCGTTCTGCAGCCTGACAATCCCATCATCAACTGCAGGGTGTTTAGCAGCGACATTCAAGGCAGGGACTGTGGCAACGAAGTGTCTAGCTGGCTCACCAGCTACCTGGCTGCTGAGAAAACCTTTCGCCTGGTGCACTTTGAGCCCCACATGAAGCCCAGGAGGCCAGCAGAGACAGAGTCTCTCTATCCTCAGAGTGAAAAGATTGCGTACTCTGATTGTGGCCCGATAATGTTGCTGTCTGAAGCCTCTGTGAAGGATCTAAGCAGCAGGCTGGAGAATGACGTCACAGTGGCACGCTTTCGACCAAATATCATCGTTAGCAGTTGCGAAGCGTTTGATGAGGATTCTTGGGAAGACATCCAGATTGGCGATGTGCGGATGCACCGCGTGATGGCATGCGGAAGGTGCATCTTCACCACGGTCGACCCTGAAACAGGAGTCATCAGTAGGAAACAGCCACTGGAGACGCTAAAAAACTACCGACTGTGTGATGAAGCTGAGAAGCACATCTATAAGACATCGCCACTGTTTGGACAGATGTACACCGTCAGCAAGATTGGGATCCTGCAGGTTGGAGATGTGGTGTACAAGATAAGCCGCTGAGCTGGATGGAGGACTTAGCACAAACAGACTGGAACTGAGGCTATCATGCCAAGTCCTTGTCATGTTTGGCTTGACAAGGACAGCAATGGAGTGGGAAAGAGCACAAACAGATCTGGGAGAAGGCTTTGTAAAGGTCAGGGCATTTCCTGTCACAAAATAAAGTAAAGGTTAAAATAAGCCTTTTTTGCCAGATCATATATGTTGATGATATTAAATGTTAAATAGAAATATGAAAAATAAATTAAACACCCTTTATGATTGAGAACATTATAGATGGGTTTTATGTTCTATATTGTTTGAGCAAAGACTTCTGTAACATTTATCATGAGTCTGATGAAGGCAATTGACTGCCAAAATGTCACGATTTGTAATATTTAGATAAATAAAGTATGTTTTTAATTGAGCGAGAGTTGCGCCTTTTCCTTCCTGATGTAATGTTTATCATGGAAAGGAAAACAAACCAAACTGACATTGTTGATCTTTAACATTTATCAAATGCATTTTGTTTAGAAATATTTTTCCCATCATATTTGTTCCAAGAAAGGTTGAAATTATTAAGTGTTGAGATGATTGACTATATCAACAGTGCCGAAACAAACCGTATCAGATAATGCATGTTTGATAACATCACATTCATGCAGTGACATTGTAGCCAAGTCCCTCCAGAGTTCTGAGCAGTAAACACTCTTGTGCAGATGAGAAATTAAATAGTTTTATTTGGACATGATAGTTGTTTTGACTTTAAGCAGGTTCACACGAGTGTCACATGGTTTCCTGACACAAAATCCTTGCTAGTCACAATCGGGCCGATTCAGAGTTGAAATAAGCACCTGCAACTCAGACTTTCACGTAAATCCTTATTTGTGGTTGTCAATAGGAGACTTGCATGAAAATTTGAGTTAAGTACACAGATCTCAAGTCTGAATCCTGTCCAACTTCTCTTGCTCCCGAGCTTCCAGATAATATTTTTTTTTTATAGCACTGACAAGTGCAATGTGTCTTCTTAAAATAACTGCAACCATGACTTTTGTACAGTACATAGATGAGCAGATCTGGTGTTAAGATTTGTCTGTTCAATTCAATGTCCAAACGTGCAATATTGCCTAACGTGAGATGTCCATAATATGTAACATGACAATAATACATAATGACTGTCAGCTCTGGGCCTGGATGTTGTCCCAGACCCGCACCACGTCTAGGCAGTCGCTCAGGGCTTCTATCAGAGATAAGGCTGCCTCCAGCTGAGCTTGTGGAAGCTGCGTGGGGGTGTGGGAAACAAACTCCAGGCCGGCGGACACAGTGCGCACCCCCAGTTCTTCCAGCGAGGTCCGCACCTTCTTCAGCTCTGTCATGTCACACACAAACTGACAACAGAGAGAGAGAAAGTAATGTATTGATGCTGGATAGGACACTAGTTCAAGGGTGTACAACTCAGACCCTCAAGGTCAGGTTTTCATTTGTCCCTGGCACAACTGCTTTTTCTTGTTCAACTCATGTTACACATTGACGTGAAAACCCCTGGGTCGTGTTCATTAGGGTGTTTTAAAATGTTTCGCATGTCTGCAGCCCTCGAGGACCAAAGCAGTGCACTCCTGCATGTATTGACCCTACCCACGTCTTACCTGTAGGAGGGGCTTCTCATCCTCATCCTCGGTCTCCTGGAAGTCCTCGGCCCCCGCCTCGATGGCCAGTTCCAGAGCTCGCTCGGACGACACACCCTCCCCCTGCGTCACCACCACCCCCTTCCTGCTGAAGTTATGACGCACCCCGTCGCACAGCGCTGCCCTGTGGACAAACACAGAAATATGCATCAATAACAAACTATGGATCAGTAAACCTACACAGACTCTGGCTCTCTGACATAATGCAATTATTCACAACATAATGAAAACTATCTGAACTGAACATAAGAAACACTTAAAACATTTACCAACCCCCTCCCCCTGGTCTGACCCGTGTTTGTTGAGCAGATGTCTGAGGTCCTGGAGACTTCGGGTGTTGTTGTCAGTTAGTATATCGATGAGCAGCATGCAGCCACCAGGGCCCCTGGCTTCATACGTGTGCTGGGTTCCTGTCTTTGACTTTTCCTGAGAAGAGGACAAAAGATGAGGTGTGGACTCGAGTCACATGACTTAGACTCGAGTCTGACTCAAATCACAAACTTGATGACTTGGCTTGATAGAAAATAAAATAACTTGGAGCCTCAAGACTTGGGACTCGACTTGATCTGATGACTTGAAATTGCCTGGCCAGGTTTTGTAATGTTTTGTCACTCATTTTGTGGCACAGAGTCTCTGTTTATTACTTTCCACGCAGCCAGAGACAGTAGCCGCAGCATCACACATGCAAAAAATAAATAAATAAAGTGCAACAGATTGGACCAGCAAACTGTCAATCAAACGTTTTTTACAGGGTTGTGAGTGTGAAACTGAATGGGGATTCGTTTTATGCATAAATATTTTAATAGGCTACATATAGCCTACTACCATTTGTATTTTATACACTGAGCAATAATATAAACGCAACATGTAAAGTGTTGGTCCCATGTTTCATGAGCTGAAATAAAATATCCCTGAAATTTTCCATATACAAAATGCTTATTTCTCTCAAATTCTGTTCACAAATTTGTTTACGTCCCTGTTAGTGAGCATTTCTCCTTTGCCAAGATAATCCATACACCTGACAGGTGTGGCATATCAAGAAGCTGATTAAATAGCATGATCATTACAAAGGTGCACCTTGTGCTGGGGAAAATAAAAGGCCACTCAAATGTGCAGTTTTGTCACACAATGCCACAGAAGTGTCAAGTTGAGGGAGCGTGCAATTGGCATGCTGACTGCAGGAATGTCCACCAGAGCTGTTGCCATAGAATGTAATATTAATTTCTCTATACCATAAGCTGCCTCCAATGTCGTTTTAGAGAATTTGGCAGTACGTCCAACTGGCCTCACAACCGCAGACCACGTGTGTGGCGTCGTGTGGGCAAGCGGTTTGCTGATGTCAACGTTGTGAACAGAGTGCCCCATGGTGGCGGTGGGGTTATGGTATGGGCAGGCATAAGCTATGGACAATGAACACAATTGCATTTTATCGATGGCAATATGAATGCACAGAGATTCCGTGACGAGATCCTGAGGCCCATTATTTTTAAGGTATCTGTGACCAACAGATGCATATCTGTATTCCCAGTAAAGTGAAATCCATAGATACATTTATTTATTTCAATTGACTGATTTCCTTATATGAACTGTAACTCAGTAAAATCTTTGAAACAGTATAGTTATACCTTTGCCTATTCGATGTGGTCACTAACATAGGCCTACGGCATTGCACCAAATTCTTGTCTCGAACATCTAATCTGTGCTTGACTGTTGACCAATGACCAGTCATCAGCACTGGCACGCAAAGGCGGGCACACATATCCAGTAGTGATGGGAAGTTCGAATCTTTTTACTGAGAGATCTTTTCAACTTGTTCAGTAAAATGAACAAATCTTTGTTTATTTTATTCAGTAATGCCCCAGAGCACGCAGGACCCCCTACTTGCGAACAATGAGATAAAAACTTGAAAGACTCATGATTCTACAAGCCTCTCGTTCACCATAGGGGGCTTATTGGAGCTGTCATTTCTGACTGAGACTTACAAAAGTGTGCCTCAAACAATGTACATTTGTGATTGCTAGGCAGACAAATACGATTATTTCTTGATACCTTTGAAACGAGGTCTAGTTGCGGCCACAACCGGACTAGATTGTGAACGACTCTTGACAGAATGACTTGACTGCCACGAGGGAGATTTGTAAACTGTAGCAGCTCCCCAAAACAAGTAGTTTGAGTTTGTTGAGCAGATGGAGGCTGTGTAGGCTGTTTTGTTTCTAGAAAGATGTATCCATCTAGCCTGAGGATAAACTAAATGATTCTGCTGCTCTGTCATTCGCTACATACTTTAATCTGAGACTGCCATCATTGATGTCGTTTGTGGTGACGAGGGGCACGAGGAGTGTTGTACAAAACAAAGACATCAACGATTGGATCGTCTAACCAATCAGAGTATCAAAGCCAATGATGAATTTTCAAACCGCAGATTTACCCACGTGTGTTCTGGCTCTGGCTCAACCCATCGGTTTCTGGACCAATCAGATGGCCCTCAATTTGTTCATATTCGGTGAAGGGTCGGGGCGGTGCTCAGATCAAGACTCATTGCGGAGAAGAAACTAACGTCCGTGGGCGTGGCGTAGTGTTTGGCCAGAGCAAGGAGTCTTGGTAGCCAGACAAGTGTCCATCAAGAACATAAAATATTACATTACATTACATTACATTACATTCATTCTTGCACCATGAGATCAATTATCAGTTCTAAACATGTATTTTTCTTCGCTATGCAGCATGTGATCTATTTTCCTGCGAGCACATATGATACAGTTGGTGGTCGGAGCACGTCTCTGGAGCCGGATGAGCGTATTATTCCTGCAGTAGGATTAACAGCTCACACCCTGTTGTAAATCAACAAAGAAGGCCAGGCTCTCCCTTTCAAGATCCCCCAAAGGAATGTCTTTGTTTCAACAAACCTTTTCCCGCTGAAACTTTAGCACGATCAAAAGCGAATACTGGAATAATATTCCTAACGTAGAACGTGGGGAATGGTCGGAGGCGATCTATAGAACACTAATGTCATATTGTTTGTTATTTTGTGATGTCATTAAAAATGTTATAAAGGAAATACTGTAACTTGGAAAGTATACCCACTACATGTTGGAAGTTTCCATCCTATACGTTGTGCATGTAATATGAAAAATAAGTATTTTTGTTAAGAGAGGGATGTGATTTGAGAACGCTATAAGAGATAATAGTTTTTCATGAGCTTTGCACAGGGACAAGTCACGCCTCGAGTGAGGTCAGAGAGAGTGTCAGCCTGACGGAACCGCCCCTTTTCGAGCAGAGTGTATAAAGGACGGATTATAAATGAACACATCAGACCAGAAAATGTGAAAGCGGCTGCTACACGTTTAAAATGATTGGAACTTTGAATCTCAACACGAGGTGGAGATAATTATAAGGAGGATGGGATCCACCCAAATCATTTGGGTTCCTGGATCCTTTCACAGCATTATAAGGCTGCGTTGAGGCAATGACTTATCAATGACCCAAGACCAGCTCATTTAATCCCTACCATTGTGTCGCTGAGTTGTCATAATGATTCAGCAAATGTACATTATCCTAGGGGCGTTGAAAGACAAAATGTAAATAACCTAATTTATGTCCCTCTTACTGCCCGGAATGCCTCTGCTGATCCTATAGCTATTGTGTGCAGTACTCATACAGTGAGGGAAAAAAGTATTTGATCCCCTGCTGATTTTGTACGTTTGCCCACTGACAAAGACATGATCAGTCTATAATTTTAATTGTAGGTTTATTTGAACAGTGAGAGACAGAATAACAACAAATCCAGAAAAACGCATGTCAAAAATGTTAGAAATTGATTTGCATTTTAATTAGGGAAATAAGTATTTGACCCCTCTGCAAAATATGACTTAGTACTTGGTGGCAAAACCCTTGTTTGGCAACTCAAACCTTCAGCTCCCTCCACAGATATTCTATGGGATTAAGGTCTGGAGACTGGCTAGGCCACTCCAGGACCTTCATGTGCTTCTTCTTGAGCCACTCCTTTGTTGCCTTGGCCGTGTGTTTTGGGTCATTGTCATGCTGGAATACCCATCCACGACCCATTTTCAATGCCTTGGCTGAGGGAAGGAGGTTCTCACCCAAGATTTGACGGAACATGGCCCCGTCCATCGTCCCTTTGATGCGGTGAAGTTGCCCTGTCCCCTTAAAAGAAAAACACCCCCAAAGCATAATGTTTCCACCTCCATGTTTGACAGTGAGGATGGTGTTCTTGGGATCATAGGCAGCATTCCTCCTCCTCCAAACACGGCGAGTTGAGTTGATGCCAAAGAGCTCGATTTTGGTCTCATCTGACCACAACATTCTCACCCAGTTCTCCTCTGAATCATTCAGATGTTTATTGGCAAACTTCAGACGGGCCTGTATATGTGCTTTCTTGAGCAGGGTGACCTTGCAGGCGCTGCAGGATTTCAGTCCTTCACGGCATGGTGCGTTACCAATTGTTTTCTTGGTGACTATGGTCCCAGCTGCCTTGAGAGCATTGACAAGATCCTCCCGTGTAGTTCTGGGCTGATTCCTCACTGTTCTCATGATCATTGCAACTCCACGAGGTGAGATCTTGCATGGAGCCCCAGGCCGAGGGAGATTGACTGTTCTTTTGTGTTTCTTCCATTTGCGAATAATCGCACCAACTGTTGTCACCTTCTCACCAAGCTGCTTGGCGATGGTCTTGTAGCCCATCCCAGCCTTGTAAAGGTCTACAATTTGTCCCTGATATCCTTGGAGAGCTCTTTGGTCTTGGCCATGGTGGAGAGTTTGGAATCTGATTGATTGATTGCTTCTGTGGACAGGTGTCTTTTATACAGCCAGGGCATTGCAAATGGTCGTGGATGGTATTCCAGCATGACAATGACCCAAAACACATGGCCAAGGAAACAAAGGAGTGGCTCAAGAAGAGGCACATTAAGGTCCTGGAGTAGCCTAGCCAGTCTCCAGACCTTAATCCCATAGAAAATCTGTGGAGGGAGCTGAAGGCTTTGCCACCAAGTACTAAATCATGTTTTGCAGAGGGGTCAAATACTTATTTCCCTCATTAAAATGCAAATCAATTGATAACATTTTTGACATGCGTTTTTCAGGATTTTGTTGTTGTTATTCTGTCTCTCACAGTTTAAATAAACCTACCATTAAAATTATAGACTGATGATTTCTTTGTCAGTGGGCAAACGTACAAAATCAGCAGGGGATCAAATACTTTTTTCCCTCACTGTATGCCTATGAACCAGAGTAATATTGTTAGCACTGAGGTGGTGTGCCCAAGTAGGAAGTCCATTGTGTGCAGCTCACCCTGCACTAATAAAAATAACCAGAGTATGTCTACCTCTGCTAAGCTTCCCAGTAAAGCAAGAAAAATTATCAAACATACTGCAAATTGAGAAATCATGTGACTAAACTGAATAAAAAGAAGAAACTGCACTATGAAACAAAGATAAATGACAAAGAATGATAGTACAAAGATTTGGAGTGCCTTAAATGAAATGTTGGGCAAAAAGGCAAACTTCGCTCCATCATTCATTGAATCAGAAGGCTCATTCATCACAACACCCACTGATATTGCCAACTACTTTAATTATTTTTTCATTGGCAAGATTAGCAAATTTAGGCATGACATGCCAGCAACAAACGCTGACACTACACATCCAAGTATATCTGACCAAATTATGAAAGACAAGCATTGTCATTTTGAATTCCGTAAAGTAAGTGTGGAAGAGGTGAAAAAAGTATTATTGTCGATCAACAATGACAAGCCACTGGGGTCTGACAACTTGGATGGAAAATTACTGAGGATAATAGTGGACGATATTGCCACTCCTGTTTGCCATATCTTCAATTTAAGCCAACTAGAAAGTGTGTGCCCTCAGGCCTGGAGGGGAGCATAAGTTATTCCCCTACCTAAGAATAGTAAAGCCCCCTTAACAAGCTTAAATAGCCGACCAATCAGCCTGTTACCAACCCTTAGTAAACTTTTGAAAAAATGGTGTTTGACCAGATAAAATGCTATTTTACAGTAAACAAATTGACAACATACTTTCAGTACGCTTATTGGGAAGGACATTCAACAAGCACAGCACTGACACAAATGACTGTTGATTGGCTGAGAGAAATTGATGATAAAAAGATTGTGGGGGCTGTTTTGTTAGACTTCAGTGCGGCTTTTGACATTACCGATCATAGTCTGCTGCTGGAAAAACGTATGTGTTATGGCTTTACACCCCCTGCTATATTGTGGATAAAGAGTTACCTGTCTAACAGAACACAGAGGGTGTTCTTTAATGGAAGCCTCTCCAACAAAATCCAGGTATAATCAGGAATTCCCCAGGGCAGCTGTCTAGGCCCCTTACTTTTTTCAATCTTTACTAACGACATGCCACTGGCTTTGAGTAAAGCCAGTGTGTCTATGTATGCGGATGACTCAACACTATACACGTCAGCTACCACAGCGACTGAAATGACAGCAACACTTAACAAAGAGCTGCAGTTAGTTTCAGAATATCTAACAAGCGGGGCAAGGGTAGGGCAAAAAATGTAACCCTGATTCGCATTCTGACTGAGTGACAGCAAACTTGGCTGCCCACTGCAAGTTGAGGACACACAGACAGATACACACCCCTCCGCGCGCTGTCGCTAATCTGCAGGTATTTTTGCTGTGAGAATGCGAAGGGAGTTATTTTGCTAACATCTACTTAGTAAAATTAAAACACTTAAGTTTTTTCCAATCTGACTATCAACTGTTAATTTACGGATAGGCTACGATTACGAGTATGGCCATATAGGCACAGCCCTAGTCCGTATGATCCTGCTTGCTCTTGACTCCAGAGAAGTGACGTTGATATTGACTGCTAACATGAATGACTAAGCTCAAAATGCAGGTGTAAAACTGAGTTAATCTCTGTATTTTGCATTTTTTAAATGCATCATCGTTTACGGCTGTAATGACAGGCTACATTTGTGCAGCGAATGTGCGCGCGTTCATGTGCGGGCGCAGGGTCAACAGCATTGAACCACTCCTTTTTGGGGGTTGCGGGTCAAAAACAGTTTGTAGGGAGAGAGGTCAAAAACTGGCATAAAGAAATATGCAGCTCCAAAAATAAAATGGTGATCAAGAATATTAACTTTAACTAAGAATGTTTACTTTGCAAGCTCACCAGCAATGGGGCATCAAGCAAAAATTACTAGTATAGGCCTACTGGTCTTTTGGTATGTCAAAATTGCTCGAAATTGATCATTTACTTATGAAGCTTGAATTTGGAGTTTGTCATTTATTATTACATAATAATCAAAAGGGCTGTCTGGTAGCCTCAAAGACAAATATTTGTAGTTGAACAAGTCATTGCATGTATAGATCTTTTTTTACTCGACTTGCTCTTAGAATGCACGACCGGGACTTGACTTGAGACTCGACCCGTTCTACTTGGGACTCGACTTGATACTCAGACCTTGTGACTTGCTTGTGATTCGAATAATAGTGACTTGGTCCCACCTCTGGACAAAAGCGTTTCACATAATGGAAGTACTTATGGGATAGACAACGTGCAGATTCAATGTAGCAGACACGTGTAACCAGGGTAAAAAGGTACAGTTGAGTGAACACATCCGTAACACTGCGGTTGTCATACATGCTCATGACAAGTCTTACAATTCATTACACTGAACAAAAATATAAATACAACATGTAAAGTGTTGGTCCCATGTTTCATGAGCTGAAATAAAATATCCCTGAAATGTTCCATATACAAAATGCTCATTTCTCTCTAATTTTGTGCACAAATTTGTTTACATCCCTGTTAGTGAGCATTTCTCCTTTGCCAAGATAATCCATCCACCTGACAGGTGTGGCATATCAAGAAGCTGATTAAACATTATGATCATTACACAGGTGCACCTTGTACTGGGAAAAATAAAAGGCCACTAAAATGTGCAGTTTTGTCACACAACACAATGCCACAGATGTCTCAAGTTTTGAGGGAGCGTGCAATTGACATGCTGACTGCAGGAATGTTCACCAGAGCTGTTGCCAGAAAATGGAATGTTCATTTCTCTACCATAAGCCGCCTCCAACGTCATTTTAGAGAATTTGGCAGTACGTCCAACTGGCCTCAACAGCAGACCACGTGTAACCACGCCAGCCCAGGACCTCCACATCCGGCTTCATCACCTGTGGGATCGTCTGAGACCAGCCACCCAGACAGCTGATGAAACTGTGGATTTGCACAACTGAAGAATTTCTGCACAAACTGTCAGAAACCGTCTGACACACCAGGGTCTTGACCTGACTGCAGTTCGGCGTCTTAACTGACTTCAGTGGGCAAATGCTCACCTTTGATGGCCACTGGCACGCTGGAGAAGTGTGCTCTTCATGACGGATGAATCCCGGTTTCAACAACGCCAGCGTGTATGTTGTCGTGTGGGCGAGCGGTTTGCTGATGTCAACACTGTGAACAGAGTCCCCTATGGTGGCGGTGGGGTAGTTCCCACCAATATCCAGCAACTTCGCACAGCCATTGAAGAGGAGTGGGACAACATTTCACAGGCCACAATCAACAGACTGATCAACTCTATGCGAAGGAGATGTCACACTGCTTGAGGCAAATGGTGGTCACACCAGATACTGACTGGTTTTCTGTCCACGCCCCTACCTTTTTTTAAAGGTATCTGTGACCAAAAGATGCATATCTGTATTCCCATTCATGTGAAATCCATAGATTAGGGCCTAATGAATTCAATTAAATTGACTGATTTCCTTATATGAACTGTAACGCAGTAAAATCTTTGAAATTGTTGCATGTTGCGTTTATATGTGTGTTCAGTGTAACTGCATCATAATGCATTTTATTTAAGTGTTATATAAGTGTTACCAAAACATTTAACTTTGATCATGCCATCAACTTACCGCCCCTTTGATGGCAGCTTCTATGGACACTTTGGGCATGTTCTTGCCTCGGCATTGCTCCACTACATTCGCCAATGCTAGATTGAATTCTGGGTTACTAGATCCCCCTTCTGTAGAAGACAGAATTAACAAGCAAAACATGGGAATGGTTGATGCAGCACCAGTCAAAACATTCCTCATAATGCTCACATGTAGTGCATTGAATTGGAGCAAACAAGTTGTCAGTCAAGCTTACCTTTGACTGCAATTCTTATCATCATCCCAAACTTCATGAACATTCGACTCCGGGCTGCATCTTTGGGTCCTTTTATATTTTTCACCTTTGACCATTTATTATGGCCAGCACACAAGTTAGGGCACAGATGTAGTGTTCTTACAGGATGTGTTGTCCAAAGAGGGTAGCGACATGGCACCGTCAGGTCTGTGCGTACTGGACGAATCCTTGCGCCCATGTAAGTGTTTGTGGTCAAGCAGGCAAGTCGACGTAGACACAGAGGCAAGAAACCCCTCAACACCACTCCCCATGCCATTGCCCTTGAGTCAGAAAAGGAAAGTGTAAGTGCATTGCATTGACAGACAGTATTATATGTTTGCTATACATGCGAGAACCAGAAGAAACAGGTGGACGTATGTGCAAATGCTCAAATGGCTTATGACAGTTGCCTCGCTATTATTAAAAAATAAATGCCTACATTTGATAAGCTTAGCTAGCTAGCTAACGTTACTACTTGCTGCTAAGAAGACCACATAACTGTCTGTCTGCTAGCTTACTAGCTATAATGGCTGTTCCTAATGGAAAACGTATGAATTAATGAAAGTAGCACATTTTCCGTAAACTTACACTTTATAAAGAGAGCAACAGAGTCATGCCCCTGTCCTTTGAGGTGAAATTGACGCTTCCGGGTTGTCTAGTGACGAAAGAAACAGACCTTTCAAAATAAAAGTCCGTCACTTAAAACTTTACTGTTTCCACAAGAGGGCGACAGACAATATTTCCAACGGTAAATGTTGTCGTCTGCATTTGGATAGACATTATTTAAAGGGTGTCTTTTGGTTGTAAAAAAAACAAGCCAACATTTCTTACAGCCTCTCAAAATGTCTTCGTGATAGAATTGGAGGTAAAGTAATGCACGTTGTTTTGTTATAATCATGTTAAAGCCAGTTTCTAAGATTTCATTTCAATTAAATACATTGATTTTGAGTGATATAAAAAAAACAAGGACCCTTTTCATTGTTAATGTTTTTATTGTAGTAGGACTTTATAAGCAAATGATTTGTATAACTTCAAATATTTTCTAGATTAACACATTGTTCTCATCGAATGTCATTGTTGTTTTATGCATGTGAAAATGTTATGGGATGCATTTGCTCCATGGTGTATTTTTTTGGTGTGTGGCCCACTTCATTGATGGACTATGGCTGTACTGATGATATACATTCTGAAAGATAATTATGGCCTGTTGAAGAGAGCATATTTAGAGAAGGAGAAAAATAGATACTGAGAGAATAGAGAATAAACCTGAGATACTGAGTCACCTGGAGATGCAGATAGGGGGAGTAGTCTACACAGCAAAAAGGGAGGTGTGGAGGGAGAGAGAAACACAGAAGCACAGAGAGAGATACAGGATGGGGAATGTTGGCTGCACCAGGCAGCAAAGAGTTAACTGAGGTGGAACGCCAAGAGGACAGCCCATTCCCACAGTCAACAGTGGAAGGAGCTGCAGTAGATGAGCAGCTCTCAGCTCTCCTACTCTTCCCTCCTCCCCTTACTAACTAACATCATGCTCACACAAAGGAACATAGTAGAGGTACTCATCCCTGAGATACATGAGGAACTCCATACCTAGTCACTGGAACTTGACCTTACCAATGCTCATTGTTCACAAGAGAAGCACTACATACAGAAGATTGAAACAAAAGAAGAGAGTGCGCATTGGAAGACTAACAGTGGTTATAGAGAATCCTTGACTTAACTTCCACATCTGATTCTATTGTCACTCTCAGCGGTGCAGGAGAAGCTGGACGTTTTGATTGAATAACTTCCCATCCAACAATGCCATGGTTCATGTGGTGCCATTCATGAGAAGGATAGAAAGATCACCTCCTACCTAAGCTTTACCCTCTTGTGAAACAAAGTTACGACATCTTCATCATCACTGTCAGTGAGACGTGTGCAGGCAACAAGGTAATAGGAGCGGCAATGGGACACAGCCTCGAGGACCACCACTCTACATGTTTCGGGGGACGGTTCCCTTCGCTGCAACCTAGAGAGGATAAGGAGTTGTGAGCAGGGGGTGTCTTGGTGATTAAAAGTGTTGGTTCAGGTTGACGGTCACAAGGAAGTCATGGTATCTGTGGGGAGAATCAGAATTGTTCTCTGCTGCGTATTGATGAATGTCAGTGCAGTGGTAAGTATCCTATCCACGTAACTGTGAAAATAATTTTTATTGATTAATTTAATTGATTGATCGATTCATTCATTAATATATTAGCAATTTTTAAGAAAGCATTCAATGTATTTCGGTAACACTTTATAATATGAGGAAGACGTTATAAATGCTTTATATATTATCACATGCTCACATCAAATGCTTATGAATGTTTACAAGTAATGAAATACATATTTATTAATAATTAAGTTTATTAGGCCTAATTTGTATTTCTCCTGTAAGTGTGATATTAACTGATTATCTACAACACACATGAGATGGAGATAGACTTATGTTGGCTATGCTTTTACAAATATTCAGATAGCTGCCACTGTATAATTGAGAAGTAGCTCATTGTTGAAACATATATATATATATAGTATATAGTCAGTGATCATACTGTATTATGCCATAGGCTACACGTTGCTGCTGTTCCACTTTTTACACATTTCTTATGAAAGGACTTTTCAAGTTATCACCCTACCTCTTCCATTCACAACTAATGAAAAATAATGCATATTTCACACAGTTTGAATGCCATAAAATGGTAAGTAGCTACGTTACCTTTGATGACCTGTGTGGCTCAGTTGATAGAGCATTGCGCTAGCAACGCCAGGGTTTTGGGTTTTATTCCCACGGGGGACCAGTATGAAAATGTACGCTATGGATAAGAGCGTCTGCTAAATGACTAAAATGTAAATGACCAAGTTGAAATTACATAAAATATAATAAGTACATTAAATTTGATGTACTTATGTTGTGTAATACCGTTGCTGAGGCATTTAATCTTCTGAGTATGTCATATGTTCTGGGAAGCGAGTCATCAATAAGACGAAATCAATAACTCACATAATTTATGTGGATTGCTATGAGAATAAATAGTAAATTGACTTACTAGTTAGTTACCCATGCAAACAATGAGAGTGCTGCAGCTCTTTTATGTGCTAAGCCTAAACACAGATTTGTAGTGAAGTGTGTATTTTCACACAGATTACCGTAAGGAAAGGTTTGCGTGTGGCAAATAACTTTTCATAATCAGACCAAAAATCCCTGAAGTGCAGCATTCACTCTTGAGTCTCTACTTTTTACATTGCTAATATTTCTTTATCCAACATGATTTACATGGCTAGCTGTGTAAATGGGGGCTTGGAACGGAACTATAATGATCTTGAATAACAATGAAATGGCTGGATTTCCAGTATCTTACAATTAGCTAAATTTGCTACAGTATGTTAACATTTGGCCACGAGGCTAGTCCATTGCCAATCATTGCTTTAGCTTCTATGAAGTCACAATCATGATACATAAACAAGTATAAAATCATGTTGCCTGTGCTTATACATAGTGTTTATTTATTATTATTATTATTATTATTATTATTATTATTATTATTATTATTATTTATGTTATATAGTGTCTGTTCTTATACAGTGCCGTCAGAAAGTATTCACACCCCTTGAATTTTTCCAAATTTTGTTGTGTTACAAAGTGGAATTAAAATAGATTTTATTGTCATTTTTGTCAACGATCTACACACAATAATCTGTAATGTGAAAGTGGAAGAAAAAGTATAATATTCTTCAAACATTTATGGAAAATAAAACACTAATATATCTTGATTATTCAATCCCCTGAGTTAATACATGTTAGAATCACCTTTGGCAGTGATTACAGCTGTGAGTCTTTTTGGGTAAGTCTCTAAGAGCTTTGCACACCTGGATTGTACAATATTTGCCGATTTGTGTTTTAACAATTCTTCAAGCTCTGTCAAGTTGGTTGTTGATCATTGCTAGACAGCCTTTTTCATGTCTTGCAATAGATTTTCAAGCTGATTTAAGTCAACTTTAATTAGGCCACTCGATATCGTCTTGGTAAGAAACTCCAGTGTATATTTGGCCTCATGTTTTAGGTTATTGTCTTGCTGAAAGGTGAATTTATCTCCCAGTGTCTGTTGGAAAGCAGACTGAACCAGGTTTCCTCTAGGATTTTGACTGTGCTTAGCTCTACTACTATTTTTTTGGTTTGTGTTTCTTTTTGTATTTTACCCCCCTTTTCTCCCCAATTTCGTGATATCCAATTGCGATCCAATTACGATCTTGTCTCATCGCTGCAACTCCCCAACGGTCTCGGGAGAGGCGAAGGTCGAGTGATGTGTCCTCCGAAACATGACCCGCCAAACCGAGATTCTTAACACCCGCTTAACCCGGAAGCCAGCTGCACCAATGTGTCGGAGGAAACACCGTTCAACTGATGACTGATGTCAGCCTGCAGGCACCCGGCCCGCCACAAGGAGTCACTAATTACATTTATATTTATCCTAAAAAACTCCATAGTCCTTGTCGATGACAAACATACCCATAACATGATGTAGCCACCATATTGCTTGAAAATATGAATGATGTGTTGTGTTGTATTTGCCCCAAATATAACGCTTTGTATTCAGGACCCACATTTTTAAAATTTGCCACATTTTTTGCAGTATTACTTTAATGCCTTATTGCAAACAGGTACATGTTTTCCCCACCTTGGGGGAAAACAATCCGTCTTCCCTATTGACCCCCATTATAAAATAGCCCATTTTTTTTATTTTTTTATTATACAGAAATCAAAAACCATGCCGAAAAGCTGCTGTGTTGTACAGTGTACGTCAAATCAGTTAAAAAATCTCGATCTCTAATTTGCAATGCTCCCATGTACGGAAATAGAGCCTGCAAGGAGAGCCCTTTGGCATCAGGCTATTCAGTGAGGGAGAATGGGAAATTATGGGACCCGGTGTCCAAGTACACGTAGCTATGTGTGTGGAAAACATTTAATCACAGGTAAGATATTCACTACTTGAAGCTGTATAGTCCGTTTGTTTGTGTTGTTGGCCATGGCTAGATTGCTAATGTTGCGGTCGGTAGCTAGCTAGCACTCATTCACGTGGCTAGTGCCGTCATGAAAATGGTTAATCAGGAACAGGGTAGCCCAACAATATTAAGAATTTCTATGTAGCGAGAACGCTTGGGAGCAGGCAATGTTGAAAAGTAATCTTTAGACATTGTACTTTTCTTAAATGAAATGTTGTAATTGACTAAAACAAGCAGACGACAAGAAAATTGCTTTTGAAAAAGTGTTTTGCTATGAGCCGATGTTTTAACCAAGGTAACCACAGGTTGTTTTCCCCATGGGAGAATAACTGTCCGCTCTCATTGAAGCCACGAAAGCTTTAGCAAACAATTATTGTGATTCATCCTATATTGTCCCTAACATCCTTACCCCTAGCAACAGATGTGGGATACATACACACACACACACACACACACACACACACATTCATACACACTCAACCCCTTTCCCACACAAACAACCATAAGCTCAGATGCTCAACAGTTGTTCCATCCCTGTGCCCAACTCAAGAAAGGACTTGATTTACGAATGCATATACAGTTGCAGCTGTTTGAGAAGGCATGCAAGATTGAGCAAAAACTGGAAACATTTGTGAGATTTGATTAAC